ATATCGGAAGATATTACAAAGCCCGCTACGTCACACTACAACACTCGACTTACCGTACAGTACCGTACTCAGTTAGACGGTTAGACCCGTGGAGAATTGACAATGTGAGTCACGTGACCTCTAATGCTGTCAAAGTTCCGGTTCGGTTCTACAGTAGGTTCATCAAAAGGTACAGTGCACTACAGTACCGTACTGTACTGTAAGAATTAGCGCCAATTTTAAATTAATGTACTGTACAGTACTGTACAAGTACTGTACACGTCGTACAGTACGGTACAGCAGCAGCGACTACTCAATCAAAATTATAGGACAGTATTGACATCTTTAGCATCGTCCAAGATCACTGGTTGACTGGCAAACCGCAGTCAGCGTTCTGTGACTTGTTTTTATGATTTGTATCAAGGGGAAAAAATGGCACTCGTGGAAGAACTAAAGCAATGGAATAAGGAGACTATTCGAGAAAAATTCGATGCTACTCTTTTGCTTATCTTAATATCCTTATTTCTTAAGATGGGATATTGCTGTAGCTAATACCGTATCATTCAACTAAATCTTACAGTATGTTACTTATATGGTTGAAATAGTCCCTGCAGTGCACAGTGGAAAAATCGACTGTAATTACGTAAATATTCATCGAAGCAAAGTTAAATGGAATGATTTGACTTTCATTATGTTCAGTAGGAATAATAATAGGAAGAGTAAATAGCAATTACAAGTACATGTAATAACCAACGATTATTGCAACTTAGTAAAATTATTCCATCTTGCCAGATGCCTCAAATTTATATCACGTCGAGTGAATTGAAGTTTAGTTGAATTGCACCAACACCACCATGCAACGGGATCTTCCTTGTATTTTTCTTAGTTTAATGGGATTAACTGTACAGTACATTGCAGCTCAGCAGAATGACGATAGCATTTTCTTGTAACTTAGCTATTCTCTTACGCAATGTATTGCATTGATGTTTCAGAAACGCTTGTGAATTTTTGTTTCAGCTACATATCATTGTTGTACACAGTTGTAGAAAACTATAGAGTATAGTACATGTTATTGGTTTTACTCATTTCTTTAACTAAATTTACGATGAGCTACGACGCGATCAGGACGTTTCACTAAAACTAGGTAAGGCTACTCTCATTAGGAAAGGATGGTATTGTGCGCGCGCAAAAGCTATGAAACATAACTGTATAGTAGTTAATCACAGTGCATGGTAACGTCGAGGCAATTCTAAAATGCAGTATAAATGTTATATTCATTGCCTTACTGTACTCGTAGCCTTGTATCTTTATCTACATCCGTTGAGGCATCCACAGTTCAATAAGTTAATGATATTATATATAATGTTTCATGTTGGAACGTTTTAATGATCGGATTCCAAACGGATATATAATACGTTTCAGAATTAATGCACTGCTACTTTTAGTGTATCAATAGACTTTATCAAAGTTGAATTTTGAACACTGTAATTCCTATTACTGTATATTAGCGGACCGTGTCCGCTAAGTTCGATTTTGGTCTGTAATTAAAAACGTAGTATTTTCCCACGAGATGAAGCAGTATTTAATTACTTAAAAATACTGCAAATTTGTACGTTAATGCTTTAGTTACACGTATTTCTGATTATGATACTATTGCCGTAAATTTCCACATAGATTATTTTAAATGTGCGACGTCTCACCTATTGCCAACAATAACCATCATGGATGTAGAAGAGAAATTTTTTGCGGTAATACTTGAACAGGTGATTTGGAAGCTACTATATTGTTTGCAATGAATTTATTACTCATGAAAGTATAAAGTTTTAGACACTAAAGCAAATTAATCATGTTTTGCTTATTTTTACGTTGGCCAGAGTTGTGTGCTCTTTGATCAAATTTTAGAAAGGGTAGGTTCTATAATTGGTGACAAGTCAGCTGATAAATCTTCAGAAGATGTTATAGAGTCATTACAGGTATACTGCAACGATCTACAATTACACTTTTGAGATGGTACTGCATGACGCTGTCTTTCTTTAATTTACTATATCCGGATTGTATTTTATGGCAGATACAAACATGCATTCTGCATCTAGTTCATCTGAAAGTAAACTTTCAAAGCGTAGCTTAAATTATAATTACATATGTTTATATTTTGATTATCAGCTTTCAATAGATTGTTTGGACTGTTTTGACTGTTGCATTCAATTTGTCATTGAAAAGAAGAATGAAGTATTATTTTTACAAGATATATTGTCACTGCCAACCGCTGTATTATACATTATTCATTCTTCCTTTTCGCACTGCAAGAACAGCGATAAAATTTACGGAGAACTTTTTCAATCCGTCTCTACACAATTGACAACTTTATTTAAGAATTCATTCGCTTTGCAAAAGGTAATCAATGTTCTATAATTCTATAGCATGAGTTAACTTTTTTGATTGAATGGGTTTACAAGGCATTCCAGCCTGAGATAACTATCAATACAGTACTAATGTCGTAAGAATCATTCATCTGAACCATCCGGTAAATGTCATATTGTAGTCTCTGAATGATCTCCTTGACGTTGTTAAAATTCCTGACGAAGCTGCTGATCCAGTTTGTGATAAAATGGCTGACAGTAAGTACTCCAACAGACTAGTTTCGATGTTACAGAAGCTAATTAATAACGTAGTAAGGGAAACATTCTAGATCTGAAATTGTGCATACATACTGTTTGCGTCAATAGCATATTGTTTTTTAGCTGCACGCACGTAACTAATTCAATTTTATATTATTGCTTAAATCCAGCATTTAACAACCTTACTATCTAATGATTTCCTCTTCTAGTATGTCATCATATTATGGATATTAGCTCTGTGAGTTGCGGTATGGATATCGCTTTGGTTATAAACACTTGGAAAGCTTTACACAAGTAAGCGATATTTGTTTACCGTTTTATCAAGATTTGCAATTATAAATCATTCATTTTGTGGTATTTATACAGGATCATAAATAAATACAAGAATTTATTGGAAGATCGATTAGAAGTTTGTAGATTGCTTAATAGATTACAGTTATCAAAATAAATGTTCATGGTATTAATTGAGAATAATATCCTTCCAAATAGCATGATAAGATTATATTTCAGCTAGCAAGTATTGTGTCCGAAAAAATACAGCAATGCTTGAATATATCCAAAAAAAGAACCGTACAAACACAGGTATTACACAGTAATTCATATGAGACCTTGACATCCATTTGAGTATCTGAATTACAGTCGTGCAGAGGTTGCAAATGTGTTTGGTATGACTAAATATACATTGTTTAAGATAATATGAAATACTGTAAAAAATAAAATTTAATCTTATTAGCTGCGATTTTGAATATAATTGTTTACTTATCATTCAATCAAGGGGGATCCTAAAGAAGGATTTCATATTTTGAAAATAGCAAAATTCTTTATTAACTTGTTGTTAAAGTTTCTGAAAGTAAGAAATTGATGTTGCCAAATTCTGGTGCTAGAATTTTAGATTTTCAGACTTCTCGATACGATGAGTAGATATGGAGAGAATTTAAGCAGACTTGGTTTCGCATTGTATTTTTATTGTTGTTAGGAATTTGGTGACCTAGTAGATACTGAAAGCTCTACGGAAATTTTGTTTCATTTATGTTTGGAGGCTATCAAGTACTGTATACCTGTCCAATCAAATTTTTCGTTTTATTTCCCTCAATGCATAAATTTGATCAGTCTTTGCACGTATTGTATATTATCTAGTGCTTATCGATCTAATGTCTTGGAACTGGATATCCAGATCAACCAGGAAGTAGACACTATATTATCATCATTGGTGTGTAAACTTACGATAGTTTTGCATTTGAAAATCTTATTCTTTCGACGTTATTTGAAATTTCTTTTTCCTTAATTCACTCTAGATCGAACATCTTTGCACTATTCTCGTTACTACTAACATCTATCCAAAACTTTTATCTGATCGAGTTGCTGGTAAACTATGCATATATAAATTTTTATGGATAACTAATGTTGATTCTTAATTTTCTGATGTTCTGCGTGTATTCCGTGCTATAAACGTTTATTATGTAGATGCGGAAGGTTTATTGATCTCAAAATGTATAATGTTAATCAAAACATTATTATTAGTCGACACCTCAACCGGTATGAATTTTGGTAATTAATCAAACGATAGAGCGCTAGATGTTGATTGATTGCTCTTAGTAGCTAACAACACTTGTACATATTTGTAAATTAGACAAATGCAAACAGCGGTGGATGAATTTTAAATACAACGATGTACGTAACAATGATAACGCGCTGCAATCGTAAATGTTTAGTCTGTAGAGTGGTGTCATTCTTTTGACGTTGTTTTTCTTTAGTGTACTTATTGTATCTTGGATGTGGTTCTTCGTCATGCAGCACGATGTAAGGCCATTGTACTTAATATTATTTTAGTACATATGCTTATAATCTCTAAAGGTTGCTATGCTTAATATTACAAATTACTAATATCAAATAATCATAACGCATAATTTCTCGCAGGCAATACGTTACTGCTACAAACTGTAAATGTAAATAGTACCTCTCCTGAAATTCAAAGATGGTAATCTGTAATAGCGTTTGAAGCTGGGCTAATCTCACAATGTTATTTAGTAATGTTTAAATATCTCTAATTTTTTAATTTTAATTTATAGTAAAAGGGAATGTACACTGTATGAATATGTACTTGATGGATGCCTACAATTTGTTACTGGGATGACAAATCACTTTCTGGACACGATAGTAAGCTATATTTAAAATTCCGAATGCTTTTCGTATTAATTGTACAGATTGTGTTTGATTACTAATTATAATTAATCGTTCTTTTGAAAAGTAAAAATTTGAAGTACTAATGCATTGTGCATATATTGTGTTGAATTGCAATAGGAAAAATGTTTATTTCAGCAATTACTTGAAAATGCTGATAATTTTGCATTTACGATAGTTTCTGACATTTTGGTTCATATGTCGAGGTAATAAAACAATTTCGATTGCGTAAAATTTAATTTAAAGTGAACAGTGTTCAGGAAGCTGAAATTTTCAGTTTATATTATCTATAGCTCGTCAAATGTGGTGGCATTGAAGTATTCTCATTTAATAGCTAATTTGGTAAGAAAACGGCTGTGCTACTTCTTTGAACGAATAATAATGATGAGATGAATTTATATCTTGTGACGATTATTATTTCTATAGATCCGAGAACTACCAACATCATCGCTTTCACCTTACAACAAAATTTGTTGGCTATTACAACGGTGTTATTCATGTCTGACAGAAGGCGATCAGGTTTGATTTTTACATTTATCAATTTATTGAAAAATAATCTTTTCAAATCTGCTGATACTCCTTATACCTATTATTTATGTGGAATAAATTAAAGAAACAAATGGTTGAAATCTTTGATCCGGAGGATATCTCAAATCTATCGGTTTGGAGAGAATTAACTAAAAGTAACATCTCCAATCCGTTATTGTTAGAGGTTATAAAAATTTTTTTTTAAATCAATTGCTTCAAAAGGTGTCTCTTTGAATGAAGCCAAAGCATTTCTTCTTCTTGAACTTCATAAATTATATCTTACTGTAGATTCATCAGCGCATATACCCTTTGTGTTTGAAATGTTGTAAACTATGGATAAGTGACAAATCGCGAGATAATGGGTGCATTGTAAGAAGTTACCTTACATTATACTTGCATCTCGAAATTGCAGCTTATAACATTTACATATCCGTTTCTTAAGTTTCGTTTGCTTCCAATTTTAGCTGGATTGTATGATGTACTTGAATAATATGAATCGCCATTTGTATATTATGAATTCTATGGACCAAAATGAAATTACTGAATTAGTGTATGATATATGGCAATCTTTGATGAAGCAAGCATATAAGGTAATGGTTTGAAATTAAGCTTTATTTACTAAAAATCTGATACCGTTACTTCAATGTTACTGTTAGGTGAACTATCGAGTCCTTACGATGCTAATATATTTGACTGGATCTTGCGTATCTTCATTATCGCATTCACATTTGTTAGAGGTAACTACAATTCGTGAAGCAAGTAAATTACTTATGCATATAGTGATTATAATCTCCGGCATAACTAAGTGCAGTTAATAAGGTTTGGTGATAGTGTAAGTTATTAAATATATGTTTATTATCTACAGATTTTGACAGTGATAATCAAAGTTATAGAGAGCAATAATTACTTGGGGTTGAATCTATGCGTAGCAGATTTTATAGGTTGTTGCGGGAAGAAATCTTTATATGGAAATTATCAGGTACTGTAAGTTTTAGTAATTATAATCTAAAGCTTAGACTAGGGCTATATACATATTACGCAAATGACCTCTACATTACAGGAGAAGATTTCCCGAATTCTTAGCGCGATCTACTGCAACTTGATGCTTTCGAAGGACTGGCTTGTTCATGATCGCGCTTTATATGCTTTTAAGAATTTCGCTGAGGTAATAGTGAGAACATGAAATGTGCTAAGAAATTATACCGCAATAGAAATAATCTAGCTATCGCCATCAAAAATTATATATTGTGTACACAGCTAATTAACGTAATTTTGCCAGCCTTGATGTGAATTAGTAGCGTATTTAGAATTATATTTATTTGCAAGACTTTACTGGCGGTTACCATTTTGTTCATGATTCAGTTTCTTTAGCACACACATTAGAAGCATAATGAAAATCAATATTACTAAAGAATACGAATGTTTCATTAGATCACCCCTCATACAGATATGGTTCAAAATTGCGTCCCGAATACCTTGAAAGATGCAGTTGTTGATTTTCTGAATTCGGTACGACAAATAAATATATTCAGAAAGGCATGACACCAATTTCGACTTTAGAAATCATTAGTAGGTAAATGTACTAATGTTGAGATTTATTATGCTCTGTATGCCTTTCGTATTAATAGACGCCGTATAAACGCGAAAAGTTCAAAATGATGGTATGTTAAATAACAATTTAGTTGAATCTGTTAAACTGGAGAAATTGTAAAATATAAATTTTAAACTTAACGATACTGGTGAGAAGCTAACCTACGATATCATACCGCTATTTTGTAAAATTAATTAGGAGGATGATGTTGTTAAGTTATTTGCTCTTACAAAGAAAAGTACAGAAAGATATGACAAAGTGAGTAGGATTTTTAGTGCGTTATGCGGGTCCACGGGTGCACTTAACAATAATCATTCTTAAAGCATTAAACGTTGAATTTTATTATAAATTATATATGATCAGCGAAAGCTAACCTTCGACTTTGCCGGTGACACGAATAAACGTCGTAAAGGCGATACGATTGGCGATGACTACTTAGCAACGGTATAATGAGTATAATTATTTCATATTTGCAACTTAAGTTTTTTACTAAAAGTCTACTGCATTGTGAAATAAGTATCGTTACTACTCTATACAAGTACATTATATCTATTGCATTGGCTAAGAAGGTTGTCAATGATCATCATCTTGTTATTAATATATTATGTAATACGTCGATATTCATAGCTAAGAAAGGAAAACAACCTTTCAAGCGTCGATGAACAGGTAAAATTAAGGGATCGACAATAGCTTACTTTGCAAAAAATACCGGATTGAATACAATACCCTCGTCCATTTATAGCCGTATGCAAAATTATTCAGAAACGATTAACATTGAATTGCTTTAGGTGATTGAAGCTAGCAGCAAAATACTCCAAAACATATTCGGCAGCATAGAAAAGTTGATGATGTTCTACCAAGAAGAAAATGTAGACATAGAATTGCAAAAATTGCAGCTTCAGAGTTTATACGGTTATATTTCTACCCTAGTTAAAGGGTAGGCTTATTATAGAGATAATCGATATAATCATTATCTGTTAACGATACATATATTTTATGTACGAAATTTCTTTATTTGCTTGGGAGCTGTCTCAATGATATGAACAGATAAGATGCTACCAGATAGTTCTGAAAAAGTAGATATAATAACAAATCTTGCAATTTATTTCGTATTTTTGCAGTGGCTTATCTTATTACAAATCTGTATATGAACATTTAATTTCCTTTCTAATAAAATTTTTAATGACAAGAATACAGCATAATTTATCCGAGTATTTGAAATATCTTGATGAAATTTCCTTGTAATAAATACTAACACATTAGCAGCTGCAAACAATTCATTATTTCAATCATTAAAAGCGTTAGATGAGGATATTCAATTGTTTGACTAAATAATTTTTTCATTAGGTTAATTTTTAATCGTGTACTTTGAACCAAATTTATGAGTTTAAATGCGAATATTGGTGGTTCAGTCCATAAAGTCCTGTATTTATAATTGTTAAATATCAAGTTGACGTACTAGTAGGCGTACGTATAGTGTACTGTAAATGCAGTTTACAAAGGTGGCCAATTCGTTGTGAAGTTGTGAATTATTACACAAAGCTTATTTATCTAGTTACAGATAACGCGACGGACATAGAAATACCAACCGTGGCACATAATATCCATGGCCATTTATTGAAAAGGTACATTTTATTGTCTTCGCCTTGGAGAACGGCTTTGCTAAAATCGATTCCTACTAGTAACCTCTGGTTGGATAAACCACCTAAAACGAATACGAAAAGTTTTCAGTAGTTTAAGACTTACTTTTGCTGAAATAGTTGTCTTTCAATATTCCATGCATATAAAGTATACGAGTACGTACATCAACTTACGGTGATAGTGAAAATGATAAAAATATCACTGCAAACTGTGCTACTTAGTTTATCGAGTTTTAGTTAACAGCTCCTTCCTATGCCGTGCTATATAAATAATGCTACATTCAACGTTATGTCGATAGACATACTGTACTCCTCCACGAGTACGTAGAGTACAGTACTGTACAGTACAGTACAACTTTTAAATCTGCAGTAAGTTTATCTTTTTGATAAAATATTTTTTGATAACAGGCTCTACCCGGTAAATCTTGTAAGGATCATGAATCAAGAAACATTTCTAGTGAAGTTTATTGTAAGATACAGTGTAGAAACGCAGTAATGTCTGTATTTTGGAGGAGAAAAAAATTGAAGATAGGTGATGACAATGGACCTCAATGCCAACGTTATCACGACAAATCTACTGACAACTATCAACAAGATAAACTAACATTCTAATCAATAATTAATTTTTAACCCAAATCATACACTAATCATGCACTCTTATAGCATACAGTAGTGTAATATTAAAATAATGTTCTATTATTTTATTTTATATATATAAATTTTCATATGCCGCAATGTAATACGGACTACTACAGTAGAAAGAAACTGTGAGTGAGCGATAAAGTAAATCTCGAAACTCTGTTGGACTCGGGGTCGATTTCGAGTCGAGCCGAGACGATACCGTACTGTACAGTACCTATCAACACCGTATTACTGTGATGGCACAGTACTGTACTGTATTGTACTGTACTGTACTGTACTGTACTTAGAGTACTGTACTGTCATACTGTGGATTACTAGAAACTCTCCTCAGACGGATGGACTTTCATACCTGATAAGACCGAAAATATGAAAAAAAATAGTTACGGAGTCTCGATCTTCCATGTCCGTTTTCTAAATCACTCGTATTCATTTGAATAACATTCGTGATCTAAATGGGCTGCTTCTAAGCTGAGCTTAGTAACAAGCAATGGAATGCAATGTAATATTACTTAATTTAGAAAAAATCAGTCAATTCAGAATCGGCTATCTGCATACTAAAGTACTGTCATAATGAAGTGTTTGGCACAATCTACAGGTATTGTCCAAATACGGCCAGATATCTGTCCGTCCAAAGGAGTTTCCAGTCCAGGTATTTTTCTAGTAGTCCAGGTGTCCAATAAGTCACTGTCCATGGTACTGTACAGTTTTAGCTATCACAGAGACTGCGCACTAGAGATTGAAGAGTCTCTAGTGGGAGACTCTCTCTCTAAAAAAAAACCCCTTGGTCGATCGTACTGTACTGTACGAAAATTAAAATCATTTATTTCACAAAAATAAATTATATAGGCATGTTTATGAGAGCTTCTTCTTTCCACACATAACAATTTTGATGAATTTCGTTCTCAAAATGTCGCAAAACATTAGTGTTGATTTCTCTGAAACGAAAAGGATCAAGCTGTACAGTACTTCCGTTATTTGCATGATAGTACAGTAGTAACAGTACCATAAGGATTTTCTTATCCATACAGTACAGTACTGTATCTCTATGATGGCACCAGACTGTACTGTACTGTACAGTATAGTGTACAGTACAGTACAGTACTGTGCCTTAGGCAGATACAGGACAGCACAGTACTTCTAAAGACCTACAGTACTTATTACCCTACTGTACTGTACTGTACTACTCGCGTACTGTACTGTACTACTCGCGTACTGTACTGTACAGTACTGTACAGTACAATATCCAAAACCACGGTTGTACAACAGTAAAGTACAGTAGATGCTTGCCGACTGTGACTGTAGGCACGAGTCAAGGAAAGGCTTCTGCAACCTCATCGCTAATAAATAAGTTAAGTAATTATGGCTGCTGAACTAAAGAAAGCAATATATCCAGAAAATGCTACGATTGGATTGCCTACGCAACACCGGTTCGACCCGTATACTCTAAATGGAGGGTCAGTTAAAATCCTTTTCAATTTGTAAATAATTTGTTAGACCTGTATCCAATCTGTGAAAAGAATCTAGCTTTGTCAATTGTTGCTTCGTCATGGAGGGTAGACTGGGTAGTACAATTTCCTTGATTACTGTACAATCTCAATGGATACCTTGCAAGATTCAGACTAGAATGTTTTTGGTAACAGTTGTTTCAGTGGTATAAAGTTATTACGCAAGTAAAAAACGCATTTAATTTCCAATAGAAAATATTTAAAATCGTAATATAGCCAAATTTTATTCCTTTATGTCGTCCTCTGTCTGTCATCAATTATAGTTACAGTACTTTGTTCAGCCATAGAGGGCATGTAGTCTTCTTTTACTTTAATTCGATATGGAAAGAAAGCCGCCAGTCGAATATTAGGAAGGAAATAATTTTAGAAGTTGTGCTTTATGATTAAAAAATAACCAAGGACTGACTACGAATCTTTTTGATACGATGATATTCAGTTAATTTACTCAACGTTAATTTGTGCGTAATTAAACGCTATGACTACGAGTATGTTTTACTACGTGCGCGTTGATTGTACTATTGTATAATGGAAGTCACTGCCGCTTGAAAGTATTCGCCAGTTGCAGGCACGATTTGTCTTGATATTTCGCCCGAACCAACACTTTTCATCGTCTTATCAATATCTTTTAGTGTACACTTTGTTAGTGTACGATATAGGTTGCAATAGTGAAACAACCAATTCATAACTTTTAAATTACGCTATACTGAATTTCAATGCTTATATAGTATTTTATTCTTGTCCAAGAAAGTATCAGTAAATTAATGTAACTGTACTACTGATTATTGATACGAAATAGTTAGCAAGAAGATCACTTTTATGCTTTTTTGTGAAACTGCTATTTAAATGATTTTTTGTACGTAACATATTACGGTGAGCTATGGATACAGACAGGTCAAGAAAGATAGTAGATGTAATTTTATTGACTAAGTTGTTAATTCAGCATACGTTTATTGATTTGACGTAGGACCATTGTCGGAGTTGCTGGAGATAACTTTGCTATTCTAGCAGGTGATACGCGTCTCAGCGAAGGCTTTATGATCCATAGCAGAGATACCTCCAAGATTTATAAACTGTAAGTATAGATAGTATAATATATTGTGTCGAAGAGAGACGCTCGACTGCAGCTAACGGTCTTATCTGGCTATTTTACGATGGCTTGATTATACTGTGATTATGCTTCACCTGTTCTACGTTGAATGTTATATTAGGACGGAGAAAACATTCTTGGGAACGTGTGGCTTCCAAGGAGATGTCTTGACATTAACCAGATTATTAAATGCTCGTCTAACTGTAAGCATTAATGAGTAGTCTCATCTCGGATACAGTATTAAGATATATGTAAAATCATCGTTAATAAGCCATTGCATTGTTGAAATAAGAAGATATGTATAAGTATTAACAATTAATTACTAACTCTATGTAATGGTCCTGCTAGATGTACGAATTTGAACATCGCAAGAAGATGAGGTAACCTGATTGATTGCTATTAGATGTTTAGTGATTGGTTTAATATTTATTGCAATTGCTGAAGGCAATGCTTCTACTAACCCACACATGCATTTATACGATTTTAGTTCAACGGCAATTTCCCAAATGTTATCCACGGTTCTATATTATCGTCGTTTCTTCCCGTATTACACATTTAACATTTTAGCTGGAATCGATACCGATGGCAAAGGTTGCATATATAGTTATGATGCAGTTGGAAACTATGAGAAACATACGTATCATGCTTCAGGCACTGCATCTTCAATGTTACAGCCTCTATTGGATAATCAGGTAACCTTAATAGTTTTTTTACTAAAGTGGATAGCAAAATTTCTAGCCTTCCTAGCTCCCTTGAGTTAATTACGAGTCGCCATCGCTATGCTGTATTATATCTTAACAGGTAGGATATTTGAATCAGGAAGGTGTCAGACGTGTTCCACTGACTATAGATAAAGCCAGAACGCTTATTAAAGACGTATTTATCTCTGCAACTGAACGAGACATGTACACAGGTGATAGCTTGCATATTGTCACTATAACATCTGATGGAGTCACAGAAGATCATTTTCCTTTACGACGCGACTAATCTCTAATGTTTAAAGTAGGCTTAACGTCTTTGATTTGTTTGTAATGTGTAATGTCAAAGGTTATGTAATACGGTATCCTACTTTCAGTCTTTAATAATGATCTTTTCGTACTTCTTTCGATGAGTCACTATTGTATGCTTATGCTTTCTATGGTATTAAAAAAGGATAGGAAAGATTTGTAACATTTATTATAAGTATTTAAATACTGTGAATTAATGTGATTCGAAATGTATCAAAGTGGTTGCTTTATTTCCTCCGTTCTTTTATAAAACTATATGCCTTGAAGTTCATTTGTACTTTCTCATAATGAACAGCTACTGTTAATCAATAATGACTATTGTAGTACATTAACTTAAAGAATTACTTATACGTAAGTACAAAATGAAGAGAAAGCTAAAAATAAAAGCATATCTGGTATCTACCAGCATTAAATAACCTTTATTTGATAATTAGTATTTGTAATATTTCGATATAAAATTAAGATGATGTGAAGAACAAAGCAGCCCTTTATTCCTGAATCATTTACAATTGGCGTGTCATTTGAAAATTCTATATATTGCAGATGTTAGAACGTGACAAATCTTGTCTGTAGTAAAACAATTTCTTCATCTGAGATGAAAGATTAGAACCATAGGAAGATCGACCTGGAATGGCTTCGACATCAGTTTGGCAAATTTTGGGCGTAAGCATACAAGAGAAATTACGTTCATTATTTTTGTTATCATGGAGACTTGAACGCATTTAACAGCGCGAAAAATAGATCATGAGCGTAGGGAAATGCTACTTTACTTAGATTGCGCGAGACCGTCAGTACAGTATCGTATCAACAACAGATATAAAGAGAGACTCCACTTATCTTTCTCATTTGATTCCAATGTACGATATTCTACATTACCCTCATCACACCATCAACTTATCTTTTGCTTTTTGATGCCAAATTGATGTACGCTTAAGTGTAGGATTGTAATTGAATCTATTTGAGCCTAAGATGGTCTTGTTTCTTACATTAATCCAAAGGTTTATATCATAATTACTTAACGATGATACATATTCTAAAGTAAACATGTAATATGTAAGTAAAGCTAAAAAGATAATAATACTAGATAGAATTCTCAGGGCTAGTATATAAGCTTCCTTCATAACGAGGGCAACATTACTCCGATTCCAATAATTTTTGCATGTTAAGCGGGAGCATATATTACTTATTATGATATTGCGCACACCACTCGAAGCCTTCGAACTTTTAGGGGTACATTGCTCTGCGATTTGTAGGCATTGATCTCGCAGTTCTACCATTTGTGTTGACCTGCAGAGGGCAGTTTTCCACCATAGATCGTTGCCTTTAGCCAATGTTGTGTCCTGAACATGTGCCAAATCACATCCTAGAATATCACAATAATTAGCCAAACACGTGGCGTTCATAACAGTACCAAGAAGGGCAGAGTGACGATTATCCAAGTGCTGATCCAAAAACCGCTCCCTATAAAACCACTTACCACAGTAGCTACATGTCCAACTAGACTGATAGGCATTGTCTTTTAGCTCTTCTTGTTTACGAAATAAATCTCTCTCAGGATGAAATGGGCAATCGAATGAAAGTTGCACTTGCATCGATTGAATTAGGTCATACAATGACCTCTTCAGTATATTACGGGCGTACCTTGAATTGATACGTGAACATGACTTGTCAGAACCAATAGGTTGTGGAAATACTAAATTGCTTTGCAACCAAATTAGTAATATAAGCAACATATTTTCTTTATTACATTGCAGATTTAGTACGTGCATTACTTATCCAGTTCCATCGGTACACCAGACATAGGAAAATATAATAAAAAGTTTCCAGGCACTGCTAGGCGATGTATGGGCTTTCAAAACATTTAGCATTGATGTAATGTACAGTGATTGCCACTTTATACTTCGTAGCAAGATTTGGCAGAATAGTATACCAGAAATAAATAAAAATTGCGCTTTTAAATCAATGATTATATTGGGAACATATGAATATTATTATGCATCATCGTACAGAGCTATTTGTACTGTACTATTCAAAGTTTTGATTAAAATAAGGACAGCAAAATCAATTGTACACAGCCGATAATGCAATAATAGTGATGTGGTTATACATACCGGTAGATATATGCGATCTAAATTGCACTGGAAGATCAAAATTAGATGTTTATGTGTTTACTGTACTCATCTTGCGTTTCTAACTTGGACTACAATGACGATTAGTGTACAGTACAGTTTGTAGCTTGGAGAAGGGAAAGACTGTAAGCAACGCTAGCTGTACTGTAGTACAGTCTCCGTCCCTCCGTAACACCGCCACGACCATCATTTGGTGTGCTGTACTTTACTGTACACTGTACTGTACAGGACAGTACAGTACATGATGCTGGTGTCAGTGTGAGTGTGCAGTTTGCAGTAGTGTGCTGTACTGTCCTGTACTGTACAGTACTGTATGTAACACATGGCAGTTTCGTCAATCAGAGTACAGTGTACTGTAGTACTACAGTATACGGTATTGTACTGTACACTGTACACGATATGTTCGCTCTTAGCTTTCAACAGTTATCTTCTTCCTACGGACTGCGCCAAATTTTGATCTGCAGTTCTGGATAACCTGCTCATTTGTCATGGTAAGTTCGGTACACCATTTTAGAGATAATAATTAAGCCCTACAAAATTAGTAAATTTATATAACTGTAAATTTGTTACTACTATGAATTTTATTTGATTCTTTTGTCGTATGCTGTATAGCTGTTTTTCTCTTTCTTTAAATCACTGGTTGGCAAGGAAGTCATAGTAGAGCTTAAAAATGACCTCAGGTACTATAAATTACATCACGGTATTGATGATGCATTTGAAACCACTTTGATATATTGTGTTGAGAACTATATTAGTCCTATTACAATGAGTCACTATTAATGCAATGTTTAAAAGTCCAATTTTTCTTTCATTGCTGATGTACATGCAGTATTTTGTCTGGCTATGCTAATTCTTCATTATTATTTCTTTCTTTCTTAATCAGCGTGTGTGGAATCTTACATTCTGTCGATCAGGTAATCACTGCAGAACTAATTTTTGCAATGGTCATACATCGTATCACTGATAAAATAATGCACTACGTATATGTTTCATCCCATATTTGATTCTATATATTTATTATCAGTTCTTTCGCACTATCTAAATGATTTAACAACTAATTTATTACCATTTGTCATACTGTATTACCCCTTAACCGGTTGAATAAATCTCTACGATGCTTACCGCAACCGATACAGTTCTATTGTACTATAATACCGTTCTTGACTTTGAAAATATAAGTGATGCAAAAATTCCAATACTGTAAATGGCCCACGTTTATTAGAACTGTAATATTGGTTTGTATCTTGGGAAATATTCTATCATTACATATAGCATTTAATATACAGTACTGTTGGATAATTCTATTAATATGTAAAGAATATTCTTGCCATTTTCCGTTTAGATTGGACTACTGTATTTAACATTGTAGATCATGCAAGTGATGCTTCTACTGTAGATATAGGATATACTGTATTTATATAAATTTCAAGAGTTTGAGAGCTAAAACTTGTTTAGTACTAATATTAATACTTATAGAAACCATTCATACAGATATCACTAACCAAAATATGAGCTCTATAGTTTATATTTATTGGACATTACTGTTTGGAACTATTAGCGCGTAATTTAATGCAAGTGTAAATTTGGGCTACAATAAATACATGATTTCAAGGCCAATTATAATTATCTGTAATAGTACGTATCATGTCGTAAATTACTTGCATAAATAGCCTATTTCCCTGATTTTATTGTGGCTGCTTGTGTGATGTAATGATTGTAGGTAAGAAATAATTTAAAGTCCTTTTTAATCTTCGTTTATTATGTGACAGTATTTGAACATCAAGCTCGTAGATATTTCTGTGCCCGATACCGAAAAGTACCCACATATGGTAAATGCTCCGGAAAATTTTCCATAATTGTATAAAAATATATACAATATTCACTCTCTGATAACTTTTACTGCTTGTATACTAAGTAACTATTGCTGCGATGATGTAACGGTACTCGTATCTTAATTATTAAAATTACAGATATCTGTCAAGAACTGTTTTATAAGAGGTTCTGTTGTTCGCTACGTACACCTCCCTGCCGAAGAAATTGATGTACAACTCCTGCAAGATGCTACTAGAAAGGAAGTTGCACAGCTGAAATCCCAGCAGACAGCTCAAGTAGCTGCGCCTAGTAAATAGACATACGTGCACCTGACGAACTTGGTCGTTGATACGATTTAGTACTTTTCATCATTAATGTATGTATCATTTTTCTGTTTGAGAATCCCAATTGTATTTGTATCTTTATTTGCAAGACATTGTGACACTGCTTTTTCCCGTTATTAATAAAACGTAACTTTTATTGAGATACATGTCTGTTCCATGGTTTCTGTAACTGTCCTTCACTTGTGGATGTACAGCGTAACTACATTCACTAATGCTGCTATTTTAAATTATAAATACTGTGTTGACTTAATGACATTTTCATCTTTGGGATAAAATTATTCAGATATACTGTACTGTATTACGTAGACTGTAATAACCACATGTGCAGAGGCACGCCTTTGAAAACCTATCGTCAGGATAAATCGCATAAAGCTATATTTATAATGGCTTCCCTTTATCTTTGCCTCGTAGTTTTACTCCTACGTAACATTAAAGGAAGAATACAGTAGATTAGTACCTTCATACAGAGTATAACGCGCTAGGGATATTTAATAATATCGAATGATTACAAATTTTACCTAAAGCGCGCTCCATCTTTCCTAATAGCTGATTATTAGGGATTGCTTTACCGGTTTCATACTCGGTAATAATGCTTGGCTTTTCATTGATTTTCTGAAATAGAATTTATCAAAAAAAGATGTTTACATTTCGTGTCATCGTATGTTTGTAAAATTCTTTGATAGCGTAGAATTGTTTAAAAAATGTCCGGACTTCAATATTGGACTAATGGATGTACTATAACCCCGAAAACAGCATGATTTTAAAAACTAGCTGAAAGCTTCTACCTGGGCAAGATCTTTTTGAGTCATTTTCTTGTCTAGCCGAATTCTTTGTATCAGTTTGGAAAGATCAAGTTCTACCTTTTCATCTACATAAAAAATAATTGCGTCAATTAGCAATAACTTATCATATATCATTAATGCAATTTGAGTAATCAATGGTAGTTGATCATTGTTCTATCAAATTTTATAATACGTTTTATTACAGCAACGGATACTCTAAACTAAATCATAAGTCAACATGACACAATAAAATTCTTTTCCGTTTTTCTGAGTAATAGTTACGTAAGACTTTTTCAACTTACGATGCAATTCTTCCGTCTCTCTATCTAGTTTTGCAGTATCCTTTGTAGTTGATCGCTGTTTGTTACTTCCTGCAGCAACTAAATGCGTCCATAAAGTCACATCACTTTATCGAAATCATTACGTGAGTTTAGGTTATTAAATGATATTGCAGTAACTACTGAGAGCGACAGGAAGGGATCACTTTCATTTATAAATATATAGCGCGATAAGAGAAAGTTCGATAATCAGATAAATCGTGTAATTTAGTTATTCACATGCGGACTACCACTGTACAGTACAATAAAGAACAGTATCTTTTATCCTTTAATCTAAAATTAAACCCATAGAGCCGACTGCTGATATAATCCTGATACATTGTGGGCAGCCCACAATATCAGGATTATATTAACAGTATAGAAATGCAGAGAAACAAAAGAATACGACCTTAGCCTACTTATGATTTACGAAAGAGCCCATCTTTAAAGTAGTCACTGTTAAATAATAGTTAGCTACGACAACTTTTACATCCTGATGTAAGCGTATTTTATAAGCTATAAACTGCATTCATACAATTATTTGACACTATTAGTATGAAAGACTACCCTGTAAAAGCTAATCAGCTCCATTACACCATTTAACCTCCAGGCAACGCCCAAAGTCCAACATAATTCTATGACGAAGCATTGCTACGGTGTTTGCTCGTAATAGTATGTGTACGAGCAGAAGCTTATTTACACATGAATAAACTACGTTGATAATAAGATGCGAACTAAACGCGTATAGTTAATAACTTGAACGTGGGGAGTTTAATTTAAATTACTTAAGGATCGTGCGACATTTATTTTTCGTACATTTTTTGTTTGTTTCCACATCACCACCCTTTCTTTGAGCCTCTGTGACAGCCTAAAACAGATGAGGTTGATAGAAACAGGAACAACAATTAACCACTATTTAATAAAGAAAGGGTTACATTAAATATTTTAAGATACTCACAAACCAGATATGCAAGTGCAGAAAAGTCATATCGTTGCAGAGCGGTATTATTGAAATTTTTATATGACATTCGTGCTAATATATTATGATCTTAGGTCGAATACATTCATTAACGACTAGTCGACCTCGCACATACATCGGGCTGTACAATGCCAAAATGAAAATTTTTCTTATATATGTATACTGTATAGTACTGAAAATCTAATTAATTAAGAATCACTATTATTGACGGTCGATCAGTAATTAATTAACCTTGCCGTAATGGATGATCTATTCGTACTATAGTAGTGCGAGCTAATCCGTTGATCTGTGTCTTCATTACAAATATACAATAGAGGTACTTTCTAAAATTATACACTACATGGCATACAGTTCAGAATTGGCATCAAAAGTCATAAGACATATTATACATGTCTAGTACATTGTTAGGTATTTTAGAGTTGAAGTTCAAGGTATCAACGGTATAAATGGGAAAATCACTTCATAACCAGTCGGCAATTTATCCGATTTTCTAATATGTTATAACTTCAAAAGTTTTAGTCCTGTTAATTGTACTACAAGTTCAATGAGATGATATCGCACCAGTAAAATTCAATTTTAGTTTACTGCTTACACTACTGTACAGTACAGTACTGCATCCAAGAACGTATTTTCATAAATGATCGTATATACAACGTAGTTTTTTTCAGCATTTGTGATCGCAAGTGCCGTTCAGTTATTCATGTTAATCCAGTTATTACAATACTATGAATATACAAATCATACGTATAGTATGTTCGCAACGATATACCATCTCCTTTGCTGTACATTTTAAAATCACAAGCTACTGCGATATATTGTTACGATTTCAAGATTTTTAAAACGGAAGATGAAGCAGACAGATTCTACCTATTATATTATCAGTGAGCTAGCGGTTAATTAATCAAGATTTATGACGGAACATCTATTAAAGTTGAACGTATAGGACAAATTTGAATTTGATTTAATGTATTTTTCTATTGCATATGGGATTGATCATTATTGCCGTAACTGGTAGATAGCACGAAGTAGCCTCAAGCTGAACCTCTTTGTCAGGAGGCGAAGGAGTGCTTCGTTGCTCGTGCGATATACACGTACTGTACTGTACTGTACGTACAGTATACGACTATAGCAGACAGTACGGTACAAAGTGACTGTACGACAGAAGTTCAACGTCAATAATTCCGCAAAGCTGATTCAGCGTACTTATAAAATCGACTCCTATACATAACACACCAGACCCTTGATTCACTTTAGCCCTTCAATCCTACCTTTTTGGTCTTTAGCTCCGATTTTTTGGGGGTCTTTTTACGTAAATAAGTGACTGATTCCCAGTCTTCCGACATTTTGTTCACTTGACAGTTGTAAATCGTTTCTTTTCCGACAGAGCCGTACTGTAAATACTGTACTGTACAGTATGTACTGTAGTGAGAGTACAAGTACTGTAGTACAGTATCAACGACCTTTATACGGTGGCCCAAAAGGGACAACTTTACTGAGCAGAATCACTGTGTCAACGACTTTTGTACGGTGGCCCAAAAGGGACAACTTTACTGAGCAGAATCACTGTATCAACGACTTTTATACAGTGACCCATAAAAAGGTGCGTTCACACGATAAACTTTTTCCAGGACTACCATAAGGACTCCAGTCAAATCCTGTATTTTTGTCTTCGTAGACGGCGTAGAGTGCAAGATTCTACAGTGCACAGTGTACAGTACTGCATAGTGAAAATTCGACTGTACTGTACACTGTAGTGTCAATACAGTACAGTACACTGAGTACGAGGTCAAATTCTACAGTACTGTACTGTACTGTACAGTACAATCCCTCACAAGTCCCTGACTGTACTGTACACTGTACACTGTACAGTACAGTACAGTACAGTACAGTACAGTACAGTACAGTTACAGTACAGTACAGTATCCAACTTCTCCGAAGCTTGCTGTAGTCACTCTTGTCTGAGTGCATATGGTGAGGTGTTACTGTACTTGTACAGTACAGTACTGTACAGTACGTACTGCAGTCTGCACGTACTGTACTGTACAGTTCCAAGTTTTACCAAGTTATCTGGCTCTTCTTGGAGCTCTTGCCAATCATTTCATAATATCAATGACGGGAGAAAATAAAGAAATTCTACGTGAAATTTGGGAAGGCAAATTGCCAATACGTTTTTTACTGGCTGACGATGAAGTTAGCGCCTTGGAACAGCCGGAATCTCTCTACGTAAGTAACACCAGTTAATTTCACTTTGTATCAATATTCTGTAGTCAAACTTTTTCACCATGTATACGGTGTACCTATCTAGTTTTCTCTTTCTATAAGCTTGCACTGCTTGATGTTCGAGAGTAAATTCCAATGTGTATGTACATCTCCAACAACTTCATGACTAACCCAAAAGTAAATTCAATCTTATAATGTATAAGAAAACTTGAAACAGATGTAGAGCTAGACGCTTATACTGCTCCAAGTTATAGGGTGGGCTCCAACGTACACGTACTGTAAATCGCCTACATCTTCAAAAATGATCAACCATGAGTACAGTAGATTCAATTTCGCACCATATCGGACAGTTTACAGCAGCTACTTTACTCATAGGCATCTGACTTGCATTTCCATTTGAATGAAACAGTAACGTTTACGTTAACTACTATTGTATAGTAAAGCGAGAAATATGTTTAGGAGATGGTAGATCTTATGTTAACATACAGTATACATTGGATAATCCTGTTTATTGTTTACCACCTTCACTAGTTACTTGTGCCAAGGATGAGCTATTTACCATTAGTCACCGACAAAGTATATAAACACTTCATCCGTGCCGTAAATCAAGACTGTATTGAGGAGATGTGGTTTGAATTTGAAGGTCAACCTCTTAAATGGTAGGTGTAATGTAATTTTAGTATCTTAATTACTTGACTTGCAGTAACGGTAAAACTACTGAATGCCATGACGATTATTGTTAAAGGGAAAGAATTGTATTACTGTACAAGTGATAGATTAAACTTCTTTGTTTGTAAAACATTGATTTGATTGCAGGCAATACCCCATAGGAGCTTTATTTGATCTATACTGGGGAAATAATGTACTACCTTGGAACTTAATCGTCCATTTTCAAGTTCGTAGCTGATACTTCCATTCTTATTGCTACACCCTATTTCTAACCGTACAGTATAGTCTTTTGTTACTGGAGTAGTGAGCTCAGTATCTAGAATTTTACTTCGTATGAGTATTACTCCAATTTCAATATATCCTGCTTTTATAGGCTTAATTTGTTTAATTTCAAAGTAAAGTAGAAAGCTTCCAAACATCTGAACTATACTCCATCGTTGCTGTAGATCAATGCCCCAATTTCATACATGATATCGATTTCCTAGAGTATAGTTTTGTACTTTTCATTGGAATATGAGTTGCTTCCTATTAATTAATTATAGTTATGGATAAATGTAGGTTACTCAAAAATTAGTTGGTAATTAATTAAAACATACGGAAGTGTCATTTCGATCGGCTCTTGGTCACTGTTACCGTTTAAATGCTAATAATTCAAATTGTCAAACTATATTAGAAATTTCCAGCTGATGAAATTTTAAAGGGTGGTAAAGAAGCAGCTGAATTCCATTTTATATCATGTATAAAGGAGGTAAAATATTACACTAAAGGAACTACTATTTAAGTATATAGTATATGGATATTTTTTCTGGTAAATGTCAAAAATACGAGTTCATGTTCATTTAACGGACACAGTATTTTGGTTCAGTAATTAACTCAGGGTACGCATGTAGATACCTACTGATACATGTATTATAGTAAAATAGCTTATTAAGATTTTAGTTTAAGCTGTTACAGCTAGCATAATAGTTTAAGAATAACCGTATGTTATAGTGGCGGAGGGTAATTACAAAGTTCTTAATTAGAACTGGATTGATTGCTATTTTTGCCTAAAGGCTGACTCACTAAAGCATAAGTGCCACGTCATTCATGGCCTGCAAAAGAAAGATCACAAACAACTTTGGCTTGGACTATTAAATGGTAGTTAGCGATATAGTAAAAGGCACTCTGTATTTATAAGTGATTATTAATTAATTATACATTATCAGTAAATCTAGCTGCGTTCCCATTGACGTAAAGGCTAAGTTTAATTCTTGATAAATTAGATTCAAAATATTATTGGTAATCTTGCATTTGAATCCATACTTAGATAAGTTTGATCAATTCTGGGGTGTAAACCGACGCTTAATGGAGCGTGTTAATGACGAATCGTTTCGCTATGTTCCTTTTCGATTACACCAGGTACGATTCGTATGTTAGCTAGTACAATATACCGTACAAAGAATAATTTACGGTCAATTCAGATACGTGCAATTATTGCTGACTAGGATTCTTCGAAATTTATCTCAGGTCGATAAGCCGTTCCTTCAAGAACTAGTACCTACTATTAAAGAAGATGGTAGGAGACCTGATCACTTTCTACAATTTATATAGGCTTTTTAAAAAAGTCATTATGTACGCACAGAACTATCATAAAGCAGATGTAGTTCTTCCTAAATGCTATTACGTGGCATCATTACGCATGGTTATATGGACGTATTGAGCCATAATTTTCACTTTTTAGGTTCTTGCGGAAATTTTGGAGATCTTTTAGAAATAGCTTTACCAGAAGCAATTGATGAAGGTACGTATTTTGTTTAATTATCTATGCAGCTCATAGCTGGTCATGTCTATAATCAAGATTAGCTAGATTCATTGTGATATTCCTCAGATTATATTCCGAAAAGTTAATTTTAATAATTGCTAATGTTTACAGAGGGTAAAATTAAAAAGGGATATCGGATCATCACCCAAGGTATCGAAATTCCGCAAAATACTGACTTACAATGGATGAGTTATCACTTAAGCTATCCTGATAACTTCTTACACGTAGCAGTTCTAACCGATACATAAATTGTACCATAGAAAGTTATGCCTATAAATGATGTAAAATGTTATATTATGCTTCCATTATCGAAATTACTTTTAATAGATCTCTAAATATTTTTTATATACTTAGTAGGGTCGTTGATAATTTTAGTAAAGATAAAGTTACTGCTTTTTTAATTGGCAATACCCTAGCGCATGTGAATTGAAACTTTGATTATGCAGTACTAAATATTCGCATGTTATACGTGCCTTGCATTCCTTTAGCATACATATATATTCATAAGCAGCAATTTCTTTTTTAAATGTAGAAGTTTAGATAAGTTACAAATTAGTTGTGAAGTACTGTATTATACCCGTTGCTGTGTAGCATTTAAACGAATGATATTGTTGTTTTCATATACAATGCAATAATAATATTTAACTTGCTTTGGATATGCCGAGTAATTAATTGCTCGTAACGTAGTATACGTTTATTAAAGGTGCTATACGCGTATTCGGACTGTATTACATCTTACGTTGATGCTCGATTGCCATGATCAGCACAGCGTAGATTACTACTGTACACTGGACTGTATGACAGAAATGTCGAGAAATTGCTACTGCAATAAAACTGTTAGACGCATTCTTTACTTGCCTTGTTATAAGATATACATGAATGATATATATACGAGTATATATACACGTGCTGCATATCTATGCATGCATACGTTTACCACGTCGATGTTTCGTAAAAATGAAGTGGTACAGAAAAACTCGTTTCATTATATAAAAATTTAATGGTAAATATAAAAGACATGATATGTAATAGTCAGTTTTAAAACATAAGTACTTGAACTTTAGGAAATGAACCTTGTAATTATACGCGTTTATTATCATGATCGGCAGTCTTCATTTTTTCGACAACCGGTGCAAACGTTTCTGCAACCATCAGAGGAAATAGAATAGAAGCTTCCCCATAAACCTACCAAGAAAACGATGACGGATTATTTCGTTGTAAAAGCAAATTCATATCCATCGTCAAAAATCTAAATTATCGATTCTTCAATATTAACGGTCGAATATATAAACAATTACCTTCACCGGGTTGGCGGTCTTTTTAATCTTTCCCCAAGAAATTGCTTCATCTGGTCGAGCTCCAGAATCGCTCCCGTCAAATTCATTAGCGGTGTTCACAAAAACAGAGAAATCCGCTCCATTTCGCTATTTATGATTGAATAACAAAGATATTATGGTTCTTGCTATAAACAGTAATACTAAGAAAGTGATAATCAAGTAATATTTGCAAGTATCGGTTCAAATACAGTACCATTAAGTTTGCGTTACAAATATGGTGCTTTACGAGTCCACCGCCAAGTATCAGCATTCCCGTATTTAGCGCAAATACCGCCTGACTATTCATTCTACGTATATCTATGCAGAAAGGCATTCATATTACCTTCAGATCTCCACTAACCAATCTTCTTTTAGTCAGTTTATATAAGGATACATTACTGAATTGTTGATCTATTTAAATGATGATTAATTAAAGTACTGTATTACCTTCTACTATGTCAATTCGTAAACCTGGATTTCGATACGAATGAAAGTAAATCATATCACCAATCGAACCGTCCGTTAGAGCTGGAGAAAATACTGGAATATTATTCTGAATAAATCAAATTATTGATATATTCTTAAGCAATAAACCCAATAAGCTCAAATTTTATTTGCAAGAATTGATCAATAACAATAATAACATCATATATCTGATAAACTACAGATTTTATCTAACTCTATATTTGATGTTAATAATATGCCACAGAGAATTAGCTTCGTTACCTTATAGGCCCAGTAATAAACAGAATTACAGTTGTTGATTTCTTTTCCTAATCTTGCTATAATTTTAGAAGGAGTCCAATTGATATTCTACGCATTAAGAAGTAAAAGTTACCCATTCATAAATTATATGATGTGCTAGTGCCAAATCATTCAATGCCAATCGCTATCAATACGTACATGAGTGTTTTGCTCCTCAACAAGTTGATCCAATATTGGCATGATCCATGTTTCAAATTTGCAATAGTTATCATTTGGAGCCAATAAATTGCCGATTCTGTTGATTCCTTTGTCTCGTAGCTGACGTCCCGGTAACCTAAAGTCTCCGATATACGTATCTGCTAAGCACTTTATAAAATCTTCCTCGATACCACCGGCAGTGGTAACAATGCAGTCTACCTATTAACAAAAACAATGCAAGATTTTGGTAAAGATATGGACATACTAAATTCACAGTACAGTATGTGTCGAACGAGAATTACCAGATTATGTTCGACAACGTATCTGATCGATTCTCTGACTCCAGAAGAAATCAAATTGGAAGTATAACCGAGAAAGATTGAACAATTAGACAGCGGACGAGAACCGGCTGCGTCAAGAGTAAGCTGATTTTTGTCTTTTTCTGAAACAGGTTTTGCCTTCAGTTCAAGCTAGGAAATATAAATAAAAGTATATCAACATACGAGTGTTAATAAGCCATATACGGGTATATTTTTAGTTAGTTAGTATAGCAGTTTAAAATAGGATCATGTAGACATATACGGTACTTTGATGTATTATTATAGGTAATACAATAGTGTAAGCTGTCCAGTAGCAAATTATGCTTTTAAACGGCTTGCTATTCTTTAAGTTGCTTTAAAACAGCTGCGACGCATCAACCTCTAGATTGTAGCGGTCTATGCTACGATAGAATTTGGTAAAAAGCTCGATACTACACATCTAGCATGGACTACTAGAAGAAAATCTTCTAATTGTCTATGATACTAGACTGTAAAGCCATAGCATTAAGTTTGTGTACACATTTACAGGAAGCGATTAAATTCTGTTTGTTATTTATGGTCAGCATGAAGCAGTTATTGACGTCAAATAGTTGAGGTTTACTAGTTTAGTATTATACCTACCATTCGATTGACTTCTTGAATAGCAAGGCCAAAATTGGTGGCTTGAAAGCCAGTTTGACGAAAGGACTGTAGTAGCGAATGATGATTAATTCCATTGTTAAAATCATACCCTTTGACTGCTTCCGCATCAGATGGCATTGCTTCGCTTGTAACTAAGACAGCTTCTTTAGCAATCGAAGGCGTTGAATTATCCATGTTGGCTGAATATCCGTGTATTAATTACGCTTATACTGTATAATTAGAATTACAGTACTGAATATACTGTATGTTATTGAAATATATAGTATATAATATACAAGTACAGTATATAGTATATATAAATTAATGTAATGTAGGAAATAATAGATTACTGTATAAATTGATTCTTGCGTTGATTATATACTTGCAGTCGTCTAAACTAAGAAGCGAAATAGTTATTATAATTAACGAATCGATTTACTGTACCCAGCTCTTTAAACAGCCATGAGTAGTAATAGTGAGTAGTAGTAGTGTACAGTACTGTGGGTGAAGTTCTGGTTAATTCACTATTTGTAAACCTGCATCAAAGACCATGGACCGACCGCTGGATGCTACTGCGGTACTGAACACTAAGTGACAGTCTCCAGTACAGACGGACTACGGTTGCGTCATTTTAACAGGATTTATTACACAGGTTTATTTACGAATCCAGTCTGCAAACTAAAGCTGAATTGGCGAAGTGGCGATTCCATCGTGGAGAATTTACCACTTTCAGGCCTTAATTTTTGTTAATATCCCAAATGCGTCGTTTAGCTTTCCGACCGTTATGGAAAAGAGACACAATTCGTCCATTATGCAATGGTAAGATATACAGTACTGTACTACTTAGATAGTAATCAATGCAATGAATTTCTCTAGTATAGTATGCAATGATTGAGTTGCAAAGCGAGGTAAACGTGGATTTCCTGATGAAAATACAGTATCAATTTAAATCGAAATTGTGTCAGAAGCCTTACTGTGAAGACACTATACATTTTTATAATAATACAATGTTGTTGCACTTATAATAATACTCAGTTAAACATTTGCTGCTACCAATACAGTTATAAAATATGCATTGCAAAAGCAGACACAGCCACGATAGCTAGTGATCTAGTCCAAATCTCGCTTGCCAGTGTTGCACCGATGCTGAAGGCTGGCTATGATTTGCTGAGGCAAAAGTATTTTCCTGCTAATATTTAATAATAAATGATTGCCAATGTAGCTAGTGGTTTAGGTTACCAACACGAGAGCCACCAGGATGATGCGGAAAGCTCCATAAATCAGGAGACGGACACACGAAAAGTACTCTACAATCAACATATTCCAACTACTAATTTTCAACGTGCAGCGCTAGCCTTTGGTTCAGCCTTTGCAGCATTAAATGACCCAAGAAGGCATGGTAAATGTTGATTAGGAGTACTATAGAAACTGCTTCATGATTTTAACTAGCAGTTAGAAATTACTTTTACGATCATATAAAACTACTGTACATTACATCGAAATTGATATTTTAAACAGTAAACTGTTACAAACTTACCAAATAGACTACTCATTCAGTTTGACTTTGCTGTACATTGAGTATACAGTACTGTCTACTGTATTAATACATGCGAAAGAATATGACGTAAATTATTAATTAATTATTGCGTCTCAGAAAAGAAAGATTACGTAACCAACGTATTCAAACAATTTGCAATACTTACTAATAACTTTAATACTTGCACGCACTTAATGAGATTGTAAAACGAGCGTTGATTATCATCCTATAACATTTCCGCGTACATAACTCAATCAATCTATCATTTACAAAACGCAATTTGCCTTCAATATACTGCATAATCAAGCTATCATAGCTATACTGATATAACTCTTTCCCGCAGTTATGGTTGCTGATCTCGGCGAAGCGACTGGACAGTTTGCCCTGGAAAGACTAAGATCAAAAATGAATGCGGATCCTTCTGGCCGCCAAATTCTTAGGTTCTACATTGATCGATAGCAATATTAACTTGTAGCAGATATACATGTTACTATTAACGATAAATATTCAACCGAAGGATACCTATCGCATAAGAGATTTTTATCTGATCTGTAAAATGTGATGTATGCTATGTATTATCGGAATATTCAATTAGATCAATTTTCTTTTCAGGGAGAGGCCTAGAATCCATTCCTCTGTTGTAAACCTTGACAAGCTAAGAAATTTTCCGGAAGATTCGTTCGGAAAAGCATATGTGCAATTTCTTGATACTAATGTAATATATAAATTAAATTTTTACACGTTTAAAATGAGCGTCTTAAATTCGCTACATGGTTTCCGATAAATTTCATTCTTTTTAATGATATACAGGAAATCACGCCCGATAGCAGAATGCCTGTATGCTTTCAAATATTTCACTGCATAATCCACGTAACATTGTTATATGAATCAGATGCACTATCTACAGTTCTGGTAATGTCAATTTTCTACATTCATTTTAGGTTCGTTTTGTAGATGACGAAGAACTCGCTTACGTGATGACCCGATATCGAGAAATCCATGACTTCGTTCATACTTTACTTGGACTATCGATTAGGTAGAAAATGGTACCGTAGCTTTTGCTAATGTTGACCACACATTTCTTACAATTGTGTTATATTTAACATTATTAGTGTGCCGAATGAAATTATAGTGAAATGGTTTGAAATGATTCAAACTGGCTTGCCTATGTGCATGCTGGGGTCTTTCTTTGGACCTCTGAAACTTTCACTTGGGTATTAAAAGTAGCGATATCCTTTATTTAGAAAATACACGCATCATATAATCCTTCTGCAACTGATTTTACTTATGCTGCTAATTACAGGGATAATTTCATATTAACGAGGTACTATATACCATGGGTGGTCAATACTGCTAGGAAGGCAAAGTCAGTTATGAATGTCTACTTTGAGAAACAGTTTGATCGGCCAATAGAAACGCTACGACAGGAATTAAATATTACTATACCGCCAAATGTACCTTTTGAAGGAAAATACATTTAAGTATTGACCATACGAGAATGATAACCTGTATTGCTTCGCTATGATCAGTATACAACTCCGTAAGTGTACGAGCGTGCATGTTGTAATATGAAGAAAGAACATGTATGTCTACTGCATTGATATTAAAATATGCTGTGATTTGTACCGTACCCAATCGTAAGATGAACGCCTATCGATAGTAAAGAAACATCATGGAAGATTGATATTACGATATTGTTAACACGCATAATACAACATCTAATGTTATTGCCGCTTCGGACAACTGCAGCACTGAATTGTCAAGTAACTGATTTATCTGAAATTCAAGTCTGAATGAAATGCTCATTTTTGCATCACATTAGATTTACAGAATAAGGATAATATTATATTGTTTACAGTGGTCTTTTTCGTAAAAATGTGATTTTAGGAAAGTTGTAATTGAATCTGATTACGGATTTTATTATAGATACCATTGCTACAGATATCCATTTCTCTATTGTACATTTTTATGGTAATCCAGAAGTGATAAAAGCATTTGTTTCTCATTCACTACGATACAGCTGCTTTAATTGTTACTGCTATTAAATAAATGTTAAACTTATGATAAAATGAATGAGAGAAGAATATGTCAATTTTTTTAAAATCTGTGTTGAGCGAGCTATTAACAGCAGCTGTTATTCCTTCGTTGTTACTACAGAGTGGAATGTTTAAACGTAATGGCTGATATATGATCTTCAGTACAATTTAGCACCATAACGTAGGGACTGTTACTAATGCGATCTATTACGTTCATGGCGCAAGTTATTGCAGTACGAGTATAGAGAATTTTATTATCTAACGGATTCTAACCACATAATTTTACTATATTTAACTTAATATAAATTGCCCAAAATATCGTACTTTTTCTTAATTCCAATTGTATGCTCAGGAAGATGAGAAAGATGAATTACAGTGCTGTGCTACAAGTTATGACAGTATTATTGTGCTTGATTTGTAGAAACTTAGAAGTCAATTTTACTTTATTAAGTCTTTAAAATAGGTTACGTCATTTCAAAGTAATGGCTTTACCTTTCAAAGTTGTGTACGCGTACAGCAATAGAGCTTCTGTTGTTGTGCACCATTTTTTACTGAAGTAATTATAAGTAAGCAACCACAGTTTTTAATACTGTATATACCTGATCCGGCGCAACCAGTTCTGCTGGTAAGCATAGTTGACAGTAGGCTCTATGACTATCCTAAATATTTCTTTTCGCAAACTACAGCCAAGAATGAAGTCGATTCACGTATAAACTGTTCTGTTATATTCGTAAATAGTCAAAAACCAGACGATCAACTTAAATTCGTAACAGAAACTACCTCATGCAATTCCTATTAGTACCGTGGAAATGGCCTATGCCTTTTATCTAATCTAAAAGCATAGCAGAATACTGCAAGGCCCCTTGATCCTATGCCCCCATGATGCCCGCTCCGACACTCGATCTAGGGCAGGACAATGGATTGCATTTTTAGGCCTTGCCAGTCGACAAGATACAGGATAGCGAATGAGATAGTAAATCATCGTCCTACGCATTCTCATCTATGCCTGCTACTGCTGTTCTTTCTATTACTGTACCGCTTAACTCTAACTTACCTTAACATCGCTGAAATTATAGCTTTTTCCTACGCCTTTGCTACAACTGTTGCTGCTATTGTTTATTAATTAACCGATTAATCCCTAGTTATTTCGTAGTGATGCATGACGTAACTAACGATAAACTGCAGCTTTTACCTACTAGTATACTGCTGTTTTTTTCTTTCCGTACCCCATAACAGCAACTTACTGCTTAAATATGGAGCGAACTGCTTACTTTTATGGCAGAAATGTCAATACTGACATGTTAATGTTTCAGCGTTTACTACAGTCAACTACAAGTTTAAGCCTTAGGGTTTTCTCACTACAACTTCAATCCATAAATGTTACTTCACTACTCTACACTACTGTACTATAAGAAAAAGTAGTAATGTAGAGCTCAGCTATACGTGTAATATTTTATATGTAACACAGGGCAATACCAGTAATGTCATGGACCTAGTTAAACGAGCATCCTAATAACTTTAACTAGCTATAGCTATGCTTCCACTTTAATGTTGGTTCTACGTTTCTGAACAAAGAAAAGCAGCTTTTAGTAGTGCTAAGGGTGATAACATTGCTAATTTGCAATCATGAGTTTACTAAGTTTACTTGCAGCTACACATAAAATGGAATTTGGAGTACCAGCCACGAATCCGCCAACCCATTTCCAGGTTTACTTTGTCACTGTGCCACTATTTACAACAGCTTTATCGGCTGTAGTTCTTCGACTACAGTTACTATTTCTGTTCATAACCGGTTTTAAACTGAGAGTATAATATGTTTACTCGTGAGTCAGTTGTAGTATTCGGTTAGAAATAAATTAATTCTAGAACCTTTCACTATACCGTTAATGTTAACTATAAAAAGCTACAGTAATATAATTTCATCGCGAGTACCTTTTCATTAAATAGCTTTTGCACTCATTCAACCTTTACGTATTTTTAAATACATAGCCCCATCTATCTTTAAGTATTAATGATAGTACGCCGCTAAATTAAGTGATGCAAAAACAACGGTATTTGCTTAGCAGAAGTTTTCCGTCATATCTACACTGTTCTTTACGGATGCAACAAAAATCCCCTAATGGCTCCTCCTCTCACTTCCCCTTTCCGTAAAAATTTCCAAAAATTCTTACAAAAAGTAAGAGGAGGAGGAATTTTTCTTTAGCAGTCTCTGGCAACTGTAGACAAACAATTTTAAATCTAGTTGAAATTAGCTCACTATAGCTTTACTGTTGCAATATTCTCTTTTTATTTAAAACTGATAAAATAGGGATGTACCACTGCATTATAAAATCGAATTAGTTTTGCCATTAAGAATAACTATTAAGGTTCTAGGGGAAATATGCAAATCCAAGGATTAGTGATCAGTTAGCATCCAACGACTGTAGATCTACTAAAAATAAAAACTGATAATAATCTAAGGACTGAATAAAAGCAAGCTAAGCAACATTTTTCGCAAGATTCAGATAACAAATACCTTCAGGTTCTCTTAGAAAATTGTGAAGCTCTCAAAACAAACGTTGAAATTCATCAAAACTCTTTAATAATCTCAATAGTAATCAATAAAAAACTTAGAAAACTATACTAGCAACTGATCTTGAAACATTAAAACTTAGCCATCAAAACAGTAACTTTTTCAGTACCAGGGATACGTTTTATCACTAATATCAATTTTAACTAATAATCTATGAATTACTTGAATTACTTGCATGAAAAGATTTTATGTGAGTAAAAGCTATTAATACCCTATCCTGGTGGATAATGGATATCCGTTACAGTATTAATTTTCTTTGTTTTAGTCTATTCAATTCCCTATTTTGTCCAATATCGTTATTATTATTAATAACTTAAACGTAAGTGCATCAATCTATCAATCGCTCCATCTCAGTAACTAAGGGTTTACTGCTGTTAAGAACAAATGCGTTAAAGTGCAAATTACATTATTGAAGATTTCATGAAGCAACAAGTTATAAATATATATTTGAAATTTAGATAACAAAAACTTGAGTCGAGTCTGAGGTCGGTATTATGAAGTGATAAATATTCACTGTCCTGTGATTATAATTATTTAATCGGGGTTGAAAAGCATGATAATGCATGTTTATTTTAATACTTGGATATAATATAAATACTAAAATATAATTTAGATTAATCATTTTGTTAGTTGTACAAAATGAAAAATCTAGCGGCCTCAAATATGGCCATTAATTTCTGAGTGATTATAAAATAATCTTCAAATTTTAAAATATAAGCATCAGTTTGGGATGATGTATCAATTTTATTCACCCCCCTGTGGTATAATTCATATATAGAGTAAGCTATGGATAGCTAGCAATTTTAATTTATTATTGTACCACAATCTAGAATTCGTTTAAATCTTTGAAATTATCTTTATTTAAATAAGAAATTGTTTGTAACTTTTTAAATTCCGATTCTGGTACGCAGCAATAAATTATCTTACTGTATTAATAGTAGATTGCCTACGTATGCTATCCGGTCATGTACTTAAATTAAGTAATCATTTAAAACAAGGCCTTTACAAATGTGATATTATTTTAAGATATCGGTATCTATCTATTTTATATAGGCGAAATCTTAACAAAAATATCTCGATCTGGCTGCAATACTGTATATCTTGCCAGCTTAACATCTTCACTTTCGGGCAATATTTCAAATCGAAAAGCTGAAACAAGTATAGTAAATATTACTTTAACTTCTATCAGAGCTAGCTTTTTCCCAATGCAACTGCTACTGCCTAGTCCAAATGGCGAAAAGGTGAAATTATCATAATTTTTTTCTTCCATAAATCGGTCTGGATTAAATGTTAATGGATCTTTCCAGAATTTTTCAAGCCTAATAAGGAGGTAGTTTTAATACTCACTACTACTTAATAGTGCTACCTTGCTACTAGCATTCAAAGTGTCATGATTCTGGATCATGCTGATAAATGGCAATACAGTGTCAGAAAATGGTTGTAATATTGTTCCAAAAGCACATTTACAACGATATCATGCCCGTTATCGTAATGTACTACTTTCAAATGATAAATAAACATATGCCGTATTACATAATATTGTTACACGACTCAACAATTATATTTATGTAACCATAGCCTATTTTGCCTTAAACTAGGCATGACTAACCTGTGTGTGACGGCTAGACATAGAAACAGTTTAGTTCCTTTCGGGATATAATAATCTCCAATAACATCATCCACTATAGACTCTCTTTCTACAGCGGGTGCAGGAGGATATAATCTATTCCATAAGTAACAAGAAATGATTTCGTCTACTTATCACACAAGATAATATCGTCATAACTCAACTAGTAATTAGACTTTTACACATAGGTTTTACTTTACAACTCAAGCTTTGCATCGTTAATTAATACCGTAATGATTCTTTAATGACACAATCTAGAAACTTCATTGATGAAATAGCTTCCCAGGTGTTTGACTTTGGGGTTGAATTGATTTTTTCTTTAACTTCTTTGCGTAATCGATCTTGAATAAGTTGATATTTAGCTAAGCAGAACATTGTCCAGATGAAGCACGATCCGACCGTCTATATTGATTGATTGGAAATATTGGATAACGTTATGGTCTAAATTTAATACGAAAATCTGTATTCATATATATTTGATGTGAGTTAGCATTACTACTGTGCATGGCTACTTTGTAAATTATGCCTACATCTTTTCCGGCAATAATAAACGTCATTAGCTGATCACGTAGTTCATCATTGGATAGTTTACTATTTGTCCGCAGATCTCGAACCTTTAAGAGTAAATCCAAAAGATCCAGAACTTTACCATTTTCTAAAAATTTCAATTTTACTATTGTTAATTTTCGCACGATAGACTGTACAAGTTGAATAATCAAATAAAATGAAACAACAATAAGGGAGATGATCAAAAGCTGAGTAAAATACAAAAATTTAAGTAGAGTATTTCCTATCCTTTACATTTACCTCTTCCCATAAGCGTACTGCACTAAAAATTTCGTAATCTAAACTATTGATGTGACTCATGTCAACTATTGATGTCAAACATGTAATCTAACTTTGGTTACCATATCTAATACCTGAGCTGTTATATGATGGTTGTTTGTGTCTTTTTCTAGTTAGTGAGTCATCTAGCATCTTATTAAGTTCTTTATCCGCATTCTGAAATTGCTTAACATTTCGAAAAGGTATTTGATTGAAGAATGGTAAGCTTCTCAAAAGACTATATAGTGATGACACAGAATACCCTTTACAACAACTTTATAGACTCCCATCAATTTATTGCCCATTATATATAGTCGATAGTGCAACGAAGCATTATGCTTTTCATTTATACGTATACAGTTATCAACTTGCGAATTGAAATTCTGCTATTCTAACATACCTACAAAGGCAGGGATAACAATTTGTAACAGTTCCACCATTTATACATTATTCTTACCTAATATAGTTGTTTGATAATACAAAACTAATGTTTTCTGATAATGTAGACCGATTAGAGTTACTGAGCGACCCAAAATCACGATTTAATACAAATTTTCCGATTATATCTGATGTCTATTGAATTAAATGAATATAAGATTTAGAAAATACTTTTAAAAGAGTCGGAGCGTTAGAATAGAAGCAAAATAAAAATGACTAGTTTACGTTTGTGAATATTTAGATTGGTTATCTTAATAATAAATACTAGAAACTAGACCTATAATGTTTCGAAGCCCCTGAATAAAACGTCTTATAAAAAGTAAAGATTAACATACCGCTGCTCCAAAATAGCTGTTAATCGATACCACTGCTGTTTGATTACTGCTGGAACTGATTTCTTTTGCCCATAAATCTTTAATTTTATATCCAACTTCCTCGATTGTTACTACAAGTTCTGACCGTTATAAGTATCCGGTTCGTAAACAATTTTAAAATTAAAAAATTTAGAAATTTTAGGAATTAACACGCGGAAGAGTTTCGAATGTAAGGTGTGATGTCTTTACAAGTTAGAACTAATTAACACTATTAATTTTAATAATACTGAACGCTGTACAGGATACATCGCTGTATTGGCCCTAATTTAGGTGAACCTTTGATATTTGATAGCTTAAATACTGGATTAAGCATTTTTCTTTGCCACACATGGTCACTTTTTGAACAAGTCAACAGTCCGTTTCCTAGTAATCTCTGAGTAGGCCTTTTATCATGATTATGTAAAATTAAGACAAACTATTGTAAAAAATGTAAACATAAAAACGATAACTAAAATTTTACAGTATTTATCTAATGAAGCAATTAATGGAAAGACTTTATTAATGTAAAATGATTATTATACCCAAAATAGTTATCGGGTTTCTTGTATCTAGATTCATAATCGATCAAAACGTGCTTGAAAACTTTAGGATCAGCTGTTAAAATTACTGGTGATCCAAGCCAAAAGTGCATACGAATGGTAAGGCCATACTTATTTATCCACCTATAAGAAATGCTTAATTAAACTTTATTGGCATAGTATTATTAAAAGGTCCTATGAAATTGCAACACATTATGCTGCAAAGATAGCTAGAACAAGTAATTAAATTAATTGCAACACGAGCTTATAGTTCATCTAATGTAATGCCAATGAGATCTACGATTTCGGAAGTAGTTAATTGTAACTGATAAATTGTTACTTTTTCATGACAGTAGTTATTATAACATCACCTGAAATAACTTGATAAGTATTCTTCATTACTTAACTCTCTTAAATTTCCATAGAGCAGTGAATATGGAGGACCAGGAATCTGTTCTTGTTTCAATTATAAACCGATATAAATCGCATCAATTCTATCATGAATGTCTTATATTAATGCTATTTGCTAATATGTAAGTGTATAGTAAAGATAGTAAAACAATTACATTATAATTTTTTAAACGATGCAATGAACTAGAGATGTCAATTCTTACTGTAATTATCAGTAAGTAAAAATTACAAACCAAATTATAACTCTTTCTCTAGTCTTGAAACTTCATTTAACGTACCTTCTTTAAAGGTGATGTATAATGTCTAATTAGCCAGGATAAAATTACGTAAATTAATAGGATGGCAATTACAGAGATGAATTTATTCAAGAACGACGATTGCAAGAATTCATTAAGTATGTGTTCAAGCCAATAGAAAAATTCTGACTCCATCGCGTTAATCTTTCTAGATATTTTCTTTACAGCAAACTTAATACAGATGACTAAAACTAATCAAATATTAATTCTGCACGTACCGATCAGTCGATACAGAAATTTGATCGTATGTAACACTCTGCTGTCGTTTATGACGGTTTCAATACATTGCTTTACGTTCATAGTAATTCTACAGAGTTTCTATGGAATCGGATTTGCATAAAATATTTACAGACTTTGCCCTAATTAGTAAATTGGTTTTAATTCCATTATGCCAACTGTCGCTAATAATGACCTTTGGACATTTCTTCTATTGAGAACGTGATTACACATTAATAATTATTAGTTTACAGCTTCAGGGATGGCCATAGACTTGATACTCCTGCATCTCTTGAAAGTAATAATTTCTACAAGTCTTTCTAATAAAATGAAATAAATGCTACTATGGGAATCAAGATATTGGCTATTTACTTTACTATAGCATTAGTTTGTACGTTTAAGTAAGTATGGCGGAAATTACCGTCAGAAATAGAAAATAATCTTGCAGGTAGAAGTATTCTATTGGTATCTTTAATTCTTAATCATCGAATTTTATTCGATTGCATATGAAATTATTTTTACTATAATTATGCAGAGAGTTTTCTATAGTGCCATATGCAGTACTGTGTACGTGTACAACATACACATGCTGTATACAGTACAACAGCGCTGTAGTGCTTCTTTTTTGATAAATTACTAGACTCGGCTAGCTATTATATTATAATTATCGGTTCCGGAGTATCATAATGTACATAAACTCCGCATCCCCTTAACTGTCTGATTTAATGAATTATATCAGTAAATAACTAATACATAGTAATTCAAATCCGTAGAAATTATCAACGCACGTATAACAATAGTTGACGATTGAAGCTACGATAACGCTTATTTCCGTTATATCTAACTGATAGATACGCAACGCAAACAAATTAATCAGATAGAAATCAGGGCTATACAAAAAATTATCGAATATTTGGAGCCTAGAATACAAATTTAAAGCACAAAGAAAGATAGCGATATTAAAATAAATTACATAAACCATTAATGCTATAACTTTACTCTATATTTAACTACAATAAATATGCGTATGTTATGATCCAAGTCAGATATGTAAGCACATCATAAGGCATGGATTGAATATATAGGAAGAGTTTGCCTTCATACTTATCTGTTCATAGTAACTGTAAAGGTAGGTTAAATGTAAACAAATCGCAGTATGCTCATAATTATAATTTAACCTCTATAGCGATTGATTGCAAATTTTAAAGCAGCCACATCTAAAAATGTTCAAAAACATCTATATAGTACGAATTTAACTTTTGTTAATTGGAATGCCAGCAGCTCACTTTTATTTCGATCTTGTATGTTATTTTGAATGCGAGAATTGTAATAAAAGTATAATGTACTATAACTGTTTGAAGGATATATTAACATATTCGTCCTCAAAGTTATTACCGTTAAAGTTATCATACATAGCTTCAATATCGTCGTCGTCATTCGATGCTGGTGACTCACTTTTATCCTCAAAGTTATTACCATTAAAATTGTCATACATTGCCTCAGTATCGTTATTAGATACCGGTATTTCATATTCACCTGTAAAGTCAGCATTATCAAAACTGTCATATATTGCATCGAAACTGTATTCATCATTCCTTAACACCGTTAATTCCTGTCGCACTCTAGTCGAAGCCTCATGTGAAATACTTGTGTTTTCTAGCTGGCCAGATAAAGTGTCAACATTATGGCTATTCTTGTTACCATAGCTATCTTGTTGCGTTGATATGGTAGTTGTAGAGTGTATCTTCTTTGCACTTTCCAGTTTATCAGGCGAAATTTCAACGATGCCATTTTCTCCATCACGGCTAATTCGCTGCTGCTTTGGCGTGGAAATTTCACTTAAATTATCATACATTGTATCAGCAGTATTACTCCATGTATTGCCATCTACATATTTCGACATGGATACCGCAGTTTGTTCGAAATCTTCTGAATTGGCTGCTGATCCACTATCGTAATCATCCGTTACATCATGACGTGGCTCTATTTGAGTTCCCATGATTGTGTACTCCTGAGCATTGGCAATTTGTGCTCCTTCCAAAACGGCATAGGTCATATCACTGCATGAATCTTTACAAAATGTTGCGTATTCGCTATCTGATGGGTTAGGTTTTGTTTTGACTGTTTCTTCCATATCTTGGCTATAGCGAACAGTTAATACACCGGAATTGCTATCACTTGACACTCGTTTGCCGCTATAACTATGTGACAACTGTTGCTTTTGATTGGCGTTGTTGTCTAATCCATATACAGGATTACGATCTAGTAGAGACCGAGATTGATAGTTAGGATATAAATTGACGCAAGTGCTTATATTACTATTCTTCTTCTTACCTGAACAGCTTTGACACGCTGAATTATTTAATCTCATATTTTTGATATTTGCCCATTCGTTGAACTTGAATGACCCACTGGCACTGGCAGTGCCACGATCTATAGCAATTTTTGGTGTAGCAATTGGTTGACTAGTTGTATGATCCTTAGCTGGCGATTTAGTTGGTGTTGCTATTTCAGATGATGCAATGCCACCTAAATTGAGACTGTTAAAGCCAACGGAATATTCGATGAAGGTATCCATTTTATCGTAGTCTTCATATACAGATGTCATCTTTCGTTGAATAGAGTCCCTTGTCCCTTCATCTGCTGACTTAAATTTATAGGTGATACTACAACTGATGAGTCGATTAATTTCAACGTTGTCTTGGCCTTTCGTGTAAAAATGATATTCGCCTTGGCCTAGCAATGATCTTCGACCTGATTCGAAGGTAAATCGATTGCTCCCTGTACAGTTGAAGCTTCGAATGCAGCGGTATGACCACATAGCTATAATCGATTGAGAATCTTTTTCCGCTAAAATAATACCACTGGTGCATAACCATAAAAAGCATTTATTGATTGCAGCGATTCCCAGCTGCTGCATGGATTTAGAATCGGTAGTCTGAATAGGGTACAAATTACCTATTGGAGGATTATCATATTTCAGAAATGAAATTCGAGTTAATAGTTGAGTTGGCGTTCAGCGTTACGATACCGAGACAAAAAAAAGAGTAATTAAAAAATATTACAGATCTCACAAATTTAACTTGCAAATCGATGTCTTTCAAAATAGTTTTATGAAATTTCACTATTTGTACAAATTGGCGACACTACAATACTTGGTTTTATAAAGTTTATAAATTTACCTTCAGTTGATGGTTTCAGAGTAGCCATCCGCTGAATTTTTTGGATCCAAGAATCCTGTATAGTCCTGTTTTCAGCGGCTATGCGTAATATTTTCTTTTGTGCAATGACCTCCAAGACATATTCCCTGTCGTAGTTTGTCTTACTAAAACTATTGTGTTGGCTGCAGCGGACAACACGAAAGTTTGGAAATAGAATCATTGAGCCTTTCTTTGGTTTACTATTATTCCAAGCGTTCTCATTTTCGTAGTAGTCAATTATACCAATTTTACTCATTCTAGAACGGCGTAATATTACAAAACGGCGTCTCCATTTCGATGCAAACCATGAACTAACGCTTCTATCACTTACGTTATCAACTGCGATTATTTTTAATTTCAGGAGATAGCCCTACAAGATGAATCAGAAGTGGGTTAAAAAATTGTGGTGGAAAGTTGTGAAGAAAATCATGTTTTCTTCACACGCGATTTCAATTACTAGAATAGTGTTCTATAGTATTGCGGTTAAAAGAATCAATATTTCGGCTGAAAGATAAGGTAATTATTTTCGGTATATATTATTACGTGGCATCGTGAGCCATGCTCGATTGTGCACATGGCTTGTAACATATACGTGTATAAGTATATCACGATGCAAAATCTGGGTTACAACACGTAATTATTTCAAATCTACATGCTTAGAATTTAATTTTGAGGTGCGTTTAATAAAAGGATCATTTCTATTATATCTTTCATTGAACTTTAGACCTTTACTTTGGCAATATCGATGTAATTATATAATAATAGCCAGCTTAAATAAAATGTCTGACAGTTAACGTTTACTAAGGATAAATTCTCTAAAATTTCCGTACGCAGAATTTCTAAATATGAAACGATTTGAGTTTGACTTGGATAAAAATTCTTTTAGAGTCATATCGAATTGTCAGTCGTAATAAAAATCTCAACACTATTTGAGGTATGAAGGCATGTGAAATATTTGAATCACTGCCGGGTGTATGTTCCACGTACAAGATCCGTCACGCTGATTTTCATGAAGAAAATTGAAAAATGCTCAATAACTGTTACAGTAGCTACAAGTAAAATCGTTTATGAATTACATAAGAACAAATTACTTTATTTTAAATTTTCTAATATAAAAATAAAAGCTTTGATTCCTGGTAAATACGTATTTTTGTTCGACTCAGAAACATGGTATGGAACGGTTCTTCATGATCGAGTAAAATGATAATTTTTAGTACTATGAAGGTATATGATATCATGAAAGCTGATTACAAAGGTAAGTGTAAGAATCGAATACTAATTATTTCTGAAGATCCATTGCAGAAATTGATAAATTTTGTAATTAGTTATCAAATCTGACCTAATTAGTGAGATCACTAATGTACTCGTGAGTCATTTAACTGGTAGTAGCGTTGCACATTTACTTGAATACTGTACAAAGAATTGTTAATCAATGATGTTTCCGCGTTAATACATTAAGACTTCTATTAAGATAAAAGTTTTATTTTCTACTGTTACTAGAAACACTGATTGCAATTATTCAGAATTTTTTTTGCTTACGGTCAAAATTATATCAGACGGCTCTTGTTGAATAGTGTCGTAATCGTAGTCCATATTCGTTTAAATTTTGATGATTCACGATAATAACTTAATTCTTTCACCAAAATGTTCACTGCTGGTAGACAAAGCTTATAAGATATTTTCAGTATAATTTACCATTAAGTATAGTAAATACAACGAATCAGCATGAAAATGACGTGACTCCGCATTTAATTGATAAACAAAATATAAATTGTATGTCGTCTGCGTCAAATATCACAACCAGAATTTACAATAAAGTTCTACTATATGGTTTGCCACAAAGCGTATGTAAATCAGTTTCTACCACATAGACCTAAGCCAGGTAGTTATTATGGCTTATTACGGATACTTTAGCTCTTATGTACCGTTTTTACACACTATCATTAAAGGTATTGCGCTTTTACTGTATTACTGGTCAGAGACCTTATTAGATAGTTTAAAAATAAAAATGACAGTAATAATTCCCCTTTTTCTAAGGTATCTCAGGCTCAACATAAAATCAAGGAAAAAAAGTCGATATAATAATAATAATAATAATAATAATAATAAATAAATAAATAATGTAACATAAATAATGCTAATTAATTGACGGATGCTTTGCGTTGCTCATACATTTAGGAATCACACATTTGAACATTATCGAAGTGCTAGGTGATTTATGATGACTACACTATGTCACTCAGACTTGAAATAGAAGAGTTCAAATATTCAAGGCCAGTTTTAATAGCTAATAAGCATAGTAACAATGATACGCACTCGTATTAAGGCAGTTATAAAATGGACTTTCATAATGAATTAAATCCTCTATTAATTCCTTATGGTGAAAATCAAGGACTGCTAAAAATATGATGCTTTTCTGTAATCGCTTCTGAAAAGTATGGATATACATAACTGTAGATTATTAATTGAGTTTTGATAAGTTACAATAGCTTACTACTAAAGGAGTAATGATATTCATATACCGTAGTACAATACCATTTGATCATCGTGAACTTCGAATGATGTTGTCGATACATTTATGACATACATTAACCTTTATTAAAACAGATCAGTCAATAGAATTTATATGATTGAGGTAAAATCTATGGAAAAAGTGTGAAAAATATAGATACTTGTATTTTGGTTGATTAAAACATGTTCCTTTATGTCAGTTGATTCAAGATTCATATTTCGAACTGTTATACTCACTAAAGAATACGGAATAATAAGTAATTTCTACTATAAAGAATTCAGCTATCTCCTTTGTCCTGCGAAAAAACTGATTATTTATGATATAAAATATAAATTTTAGTATTGTGTGATGTTTAATCACACCATAGTCAGAAGATAAATAATGTTTCTTTGTGACTTTAACATAGAATAATTGGTAGTACTTACAATCTGTATAGTGTTTGTTTACAAACTAATACACTACACATTAGTCTCTTAAAATTAAAAAAGAATGCTAATAACCGTTCACCTAGAGATCGGTCACCTTAAAAGCAGCATAACCTTACTTTGATATTGTGCTATCTATTACAAATATAAGAATAAAACTGTATCATCTAGCTTAGGCTAAAGTTTTCAAGAATTCTACGGCGGCTGAGAATTGCATCCAGCAATATTGCTCTTCGCCACTAATACGATTTTTATAAAATCCATTTATATACTCGATAGTAGATAATAGGCTGGGTGGATTGGCCTTTATCATGACAAAAACAAGAACCGGCACTAAATCATCCGCTCCGGGAACTGATGCTTCATTAGCGATCTTGAGCAGGTCCATAATATTTGAACAACAACGTTGAATACATCGCAATTTATCTTGAGGTGCCTAAATTTTATTTGTTGAAACAAGGATAACAAAAGAAAGCCTTGAAATTCTTACAACGTTTCTCCATAAATATAAGTTGTAGAATTAATGCAAGCACTTAACTATTACTTATGCCACTAATATACTAATGATACCTTATATGCATTTATTGATGCTAGCTCTTCTTGTGCAGCAGGCCATGGGGCTAGGGATCTGTATATCTATTACAATATTTAGGAGATTATAACCTTTAGTCCATAGACGTCATTACGGATACGTAACGTTGACTTTCAATAAGCTACACATTCAATTCCTTTTAAATTTTAGATAACAAATATTACCTTGGGTATTTGTAGAGCTTCATGGTCTTCTGTGATAAACTCCAGTAACCTTTCAATGTGTTGATGAAATACCCTACAAAGCGTATAGAACCGATCATTAAAACTTCTTCTAATATACCTGACCTAAAGTCACAGGCTGAATTAGTACGAATTCAAATCAGAATTGCACTAAAAAATAGTTTTTCCAGCTTCCTAAAGGGTTTTATTCTACTTACAAATCACGATGTAAATCTGCATCTCTGTGAGGATAAAATGCGTAAATGTATATCTCACTCATTATACTACGCTCTGCAGCATTATAGGCATCTTCAAGTTGTTCATCGTTAGCGGCTGCAAGAATACAAAATGAGTTAACAGAGGGAGGGTTTAATAGCGCATACAATGTTAGGTCAGTTTACGTCTACGTTACATGCTTACTCTGCCATATTGGGTGTTGGCTAATTCTCTCGTAAAGCTGATCTAAGAAATGTTCTAGTAATTCATTCTGAAATTCAAGGTAACGGTGGTGTTAGTATTACTATGACTGAGTCTAATAAAAGACCTGCAAAATACTAACTTAGTACTAGCTAACCTTTTCATCGGTTAAAGAAGTGTTTTGAAAATTGTTGACAAATTCTCTAACGTCATCTTGATACTGCTCTAAGAATAGCTTTACACATAAGGAAGTGAAGTAATACTTACAGTTACCTTTAAAGCTGAAAAAAATTGATGCCATCAACAACTTATTATATATAGTTATCATTGGATAATTAATAGACAGCTAATAGTAATTACCTATCGATTCTTTGTATTTGCTTGTCGAGAAATGACAGGGTAGCCAAAAGCGACTGACGGCATCTAACCAAGTATGTGATATATGGTTCGCGACGATTGTAATCTGTTTCCAGAGCGGTAAACAGTACAAGGCGACTGAAAAATTACAATTATATACTTTGAGATATTACAAACAGAACATGAACAATCGTCGTTCGCAAATCCATAATTGATAGTAATCGAGATACCTATCCGCTTTTAATTTTTTCATGCATCTCAAAGTCTCATGGAGCTGAGATACTACCATTTGATCATGAAGGTTAATTGCTTCAAAAAGTTGAACCTGCAGGAAATTTATTAGGAGTTCACTGAGAGATGCACTTTCGTTCATTTCGAAAGGTAAATCCACACTGTGAATTGAACACAGTGCAAAGCGCATCTTACGCTTTGCGTCGTTAAACATTGATGAATTTTCATCAAAAGTACCGTCAACAGAATTAGGCTTGCCATTTCGCTGCCAGTATGATGATATCGGTTTATCAATAGGTTGTACTGTTGTCGAGAAAGACGCAGAATGCTGTCTGTAAGTTGGTGGAGCTGACAATGACTCTTTTGGTTCTACGTTTTTCTGATACTTGCTGAGAATATCATCGGCAGTCAATTGTTGAGTAACTAGCCCTTCGTCAAGGGAAGGTAAAGTAGTAGCAGTACCAGGATTTTTGCTGGCATAAACATCATACGATTGGGATTTATGAAAACCCATAAACCTTCCCAAGTTTTCACTTCTTACTTGAACGCGCTTAAACCAACTACGTTTCTTTTTCTCCGAATTAGGTATTGATGAACCACTATTGCGTAAATTATCATTCTCGCTACTACCACTACTAGCAATACTTCCATCACGACTACGATTTTCTGAGGTTAATCCTTGTATTAAAATATTTCTGGAATCCTGTTCTGGTGGTAAATCAGTGCCTAAAGTCCGGTATCCTTCTACAGTAGCCGAATCTTTAGCGTTTGATTTTATACCAGTGTTGTCAATGCTATTGTACTGCAATTTCTTCCATTCAGTCTGATTAGTTAACTGAACAACTTGATTAAGCGCAGCTTGATTTGCACTATTTGAAAATAGTAGTTCTGAGAACTGATCATTGGGTACAGGCTTAACATCAGTTAAGTTTAAGTTCTCGGTGGTACTAGCAATTGAAGGAGCTAGAATTGTTTCGGTATCACGATGCTTGGCATGAGGATCATTACTGCCATCAGTGATACTAGTAGTGACAGAAAAAGACTTATCAGCTGTCGTGCTTGGATCCAATTTGTGATCTTTCTCATCGTTAATAAGACAATTACTGTTAATATCGAATTCGGTTGGTACTGTATTTAATGAATGCTCGTTGCTTATCTTAAGTAAATCTGCCATAATGTCATTGGGTATGGTTTCCTCTTCCGTTTTTAGGGAAGTAAGAAGGTCCACTGATGCGTTTGTTTCCGGTAAAGGTAGTTGTTCGTTGCTCTTTATTTCATGTACAAGAGCACCGTTTTGAGTTGGTACCGTATCTGAAGAAGGTTTAATTGATTCTATCGCCATAGAATTAACAGTATTTTGATAGCTTAATAAGGGAGCTTGCTGAGGGGGTACCGACGTTGATAAAAAATCAAGCAAGTTGGGAGCTTGCTGAGGGGGTGCCGACGTTGATAAAAAATCAAGTAAGTTTACATTATTTTCATTTTTAGTGCTGCCAGAAACGGAAGTAGTGTCGTTAACGGTTACATTTTTATCACCAGTAGCTGAGAAAATATCACTTAATAAATCGCTACCACTATCAACAGGAGTTGATTTAGTGCTGTTATGAGGATTTGAGAAGTTGGTAACCGATACTGAAATATCTTGAGAACCATCGAGTACTCGAGTCGAGCCAGTATTAATGTCTTTATGTGCAATAATGGGAGTGACAACATCTGCCGACTTAATAGAAGGTGATGATACCTCCGATACGGCATTGTTATTAGAAGTAATCTCCATCGATGCAGTCTTTCCAGCATTTCCTGCAGTTTGAAGAAGTATTGAACGACCCGGTGTTTGGTTAGTATTTTCCAGACACAACGCACTTAAAGCACCGATTTCATCCATTATTTGCTGGCTTGAGCCAATGTCACCAATCATGGAATTATTCTTTTGGTCAAGTGATTTTTCGATCATATTGTTTTCTTTATCATTATGATTAGCATGTTTTTTTGCAGGACCAGAAGTACCAACATTATCATTGCTAGAATTTTCTGTATAACTTTCTTCCGATTGGGTTATTACCTGAATAAATAGATTAATGCAATATTACAGCATCTAAATTATCCATTGAAGATACCATCAAAAAACCTGTAATCTATCTAGTACCTGACTCTCAGGGAGAGTGCCAGGCTCGCGTTCGGATGACAAAGAAAAAGAAATAATTAAAACCTTTACAGCCTCGGGTCTCATGATTTTTAATTCTTGCAATTGTTTCATCAAGCTAGCTACAGTCTATGATAGACCAAGAAGGACAATTTTAAAGTGATATCTTGTATTATCTTAGAAACGCAAATTCTTTACAAATAGGTATCTATAGGTTTCTTACTTGCTGACCGTAGCCACTAGAATCCTGCAATTTTAGCGATGGCATAGAGCCTAGTAAAAAGCCATACTGAGGGTTATATATATCGGTTGGTGTCCCCGAATTACTGTTATCGTTAGGCAATTTAGATAGTAGAATCTCTAAAGTGGAACTTTCCCGAATACCATTGTCCATAATAGCGATAATTCTTAGAAACGTTATCTATTTGGGTAAGGATATACAGTACAAGATCAGATCACGAAACATGATTGTTCTAATATCAAATTTTATACGTTTTTTATTGATACAATATGACGAGATATACCACACTAACAAAATATCACTTTAGCACTTTTTAAAAGAATGTAATTGTAGTCATATATCGTAGGATGTAGCTCCTTCATCTAGCAGCGTATTGCAAATTTAGAATTGACTCAACAATACAACTTACCTTCTCTCAAATTAATAAAATCACGAGTAAAAAATCACTACTTACAATATCAATCCAGTTTATAGAAGCTGTATAGATTTAAACTTCCAAAATCACAATTTCTAAAGGTGTATGTCTAAGTTTAGTATATGGTAACTACTTATTAACTAACCAAAGCATTTAGCTGACTTTCGGTTGATAGTAAAGCTGAGCGACGCAAGCCATATAAATTCAGTTGACCTGGTGGATCTAAGCTTACATTTGTATCGTCAATGATATCGTCTAGTAAGCTACTTACACAACCCTAACGCAAGACATAGAATAATCAATCAATCATGTCATTGAATTTTCACTACTATTATAGCTCTGTGCTAGCTACAATAACTAATTTTGAAAGTTTTTCCTTCCTACTGTATATTAATTAAATATACGCGTATGTATTTCTATCATGAAGGTAATTAATACTGCATAGTTGAGTTTCGAATACCATATTCTGATAGACATTTTTAAGCATAAACTATGAATGTCAATTGATCAATACTAAATGGAAATAGACGCGTATAGGCAAAAATAGACATGGCTTCAAATGTAGCCTTGAGATGCTATCAATTTATCAACGCTGAACGTTATGTTTCCATTGTCGTACATACCAGTTCGAAGTAGTTATAAATGTTATCGTGTAAAGGAGGTTTCTTACCACAATCAGCAAAGGATAAAAAGCGCATAACTTTAGCTACTTGTGACATGTTAAAGCGTGCTATATCACTTATACTTGCATCGCCTACTATTCCGTAGCGTTCAGGGTTGACAATAGCAGGGCAAACGTAGAAGTTTAGTAAAAAGTCAATTAGCATCGACTTGATCTGATTTGGTTCCAAGCAGCGGAGGGATTTGAGAGAATTATATAAATGAGACATTAACCATTTAATATTACCAGGAAAGCAGTACATTCTTTGCTTTAAGTTGTGTAGGAATGTTTTACAGATAAGGACTAATCGTTTGCGGCAATTATCCAAATAATTACTCATTGATGTTTCAGCTTTAGGAGTACCAGGTTCACCGAATAATTTTAATTTCTCTTGCTCACTCATACGATATAGTACTTTGTCAGGCTCATATTCGATGTAAGTATCATCTTCGATTAACAATTGTCTGGTCGATTCTTGTAATGCGGCTTTAAGATAGATCTTGGAAGCATTTACACCAGCAACAAATTGCTTAAATAAAATGGTAAATGCGTAATCACCACCTTGAAAGTAGACTTCTAAATGATCATTCGGGAGAATTTGGTAGTCAATTAAGAATTTTAATGTTTGTAAAGCAATTTTTTCGTCTTCGAAGTAGACACAATCAGCGAAAACAACGTGGAAAAGTAACGTCGCTAAGTGCAATGTGTCATAGCCTAAGCGATCACAACCGGCCAAAATACGAGCACATAACCGAGGATTCTGGCGCAACTGATACAGAAATTCACTGTATTTAGTCTCGTTAACGCCTAAACTTTTATACCCATCAATAAATTGTGAAGCATCAAGTAGATTAGCTAAATGATAACATTGCGATGGTGTTAATTCACTGCCAACGGATAAGATACGTTCAATATTGAGCCAATGTTCCTTAGTGATCCATGATTGTTGGCATAATTGATCTGCTTTTTGCCTTATAAGTTGATTCAGTTGATGAATATTGTCTTTTTCACTAGTAATAAAAGAGTGTTCTGATTTTAACTTTTCTTGAAGTTTTTGTAACCGAATCGCCGCCATCGTAGCCACAATGCCGCTGGCCTTTCCATACAATCGAGGAGTTCTTGTTATCGAGAACGCAAGAGCTCCCAATGCCCAATTAGCCCGTTAATAACACAATACTACAGTGCGTAGAGTACAGTACAAGAGACTGACATTCACATTTTCCAGTACTGTACACTGTACAGTACAGTACAATACTGTAGTCCCAACCCGATTATGGCCAGTATACTGTACACTGTACACTGTACACAATACTCGCGGCCTTCGCCTTCAACGTAATCCAGTTGTTGTGTACTGGAGTCAGGTCTAACTGGAGGTATCGTTTACCTCTATGAACTACTGTGCAAATTTGTCAAATGTACATCCACACTCATCGACTACTCCAAAATAAGGCCTTATTTAAGGAATCCACGACGTACACTGTACTGTATTTTAGAGTGAAGAGAAATCCTGATATCATCCTCAACTTAAAAAGGGATATTTGGCTCAGTACACTATAGACCTGTATCTGTTTTAATGCAATTAAGCACTGTATCAGGACTTCTCTTAATGCTGCGCTGTGCTGAAAAACATCCAACAGCAACTGTACTACTCTACGTACAGACTAATTTAATCACTGTTTTGCAGTCGAACAAATAATTCTAAATATACGTTGTGGTCAGCGTAATAATAAAAGCCGTCGTTTTTTTCACAATCAATAAAGAGAGTACAGTAGAAAGGATTGAGTAGCTAGTTTACTCTTACATCTACTTGGACTACTGTATATTTATTGAGTGTACTGTACAATTGTACATTGTACATGTGCAAATTTACTGTCTCATTTGGCTAAAGTCAAGAAAATGAGCACATTTTCAATCACGTCATACCATACAGTCTTAGCATCTACACTGTCTATGCAAGAATTATGAAGGCACATAGCAATAATTTCTATCAACTTTGCCATCTAAAAATCGAAAAGAATTAAGCCTCACTAGGAATTTATGGTCATTAATCAGGGACTCCACAATAGGATTGATTGTATGGAGCACTGTAATACAGTACCGACTGTACCGTACATTGACTGTACTGTACGCTATGATATTCAGCTTTATATTTGTATAATTTTTATATTACATTTTGATTCACTCTCGTGATTTTAGGGCACCTTAATAAAAATAGTACTCTGATTCGAACTGGTTCACACTGTACTGTACTGTACATCCAAATGAGCTGGCGATTTAGTTTCCTCCAACGGAGTACAGTATACAGTACAATTTCAGTGGTGGCGTATAGTAGAATGACCAGAAAAATGATAAGCCCTCATTTTGCACTCAACAGTTCTCGTCCTCTCTTACTACTGTAGTGTGTACACTGTACAGTAGGTCGATTTTGATCATCACATCGCGTCTATCATGTGACCCATAAGGACGAAGAAAGATACTGAGGTTGAGTGATTCACTGTAATGGAACTGATGTCAGTGTAAAGCAATAACTTTACAGTATCAGTTTGTCGTTTCCAATCGCTGTTAATTTCATTTACTCCAATCCCAAAACTACTTGCAACTCAGGTCTACAGTACTTGCAAGTACGGTAGCTGTCCCCATGATCCGGTCCAGTTCAGTCCAGTTCAGTCCAGTTCAGTCCAGAGTCTTGCAAGTACAGCACTGTAGCTAGTAGTAGCAGGTAGCAAGGTAGGCAAGGTTGGCAAAGCTACGGAAGCCTGTAAATAATTCTCCAAGTTGAAGAAAATTCATCAAAATGGAAAACCGAACAAACTCAGCACAATGGATCATCCCATTTCTCTTCTTGGCTTGTTCGATTCAATTCGTATGCGGAAAACAATCCACAAGACAAGTGAGTCAATACCACAAATAACCTGATAGACGAATACACTTAATTAATTAAACTGTATGCACACTGTACAGTACTGTATATTATACCAGTACAAACGTTGAATTACTCATACTTACTAGACGCGTATTTTGATATTGTCTTATTCAGCATAGTAGTGAACGTTGGCTAACCTTGAAATTAAAATATTTCAATTATTGGCCAGTTAATTCATCCTCGTTTCTCCTAGGATAAAATAAACAGATATGGTAGAGAAGGATAATGTACAATTGGTTTGTTACTTCTCACCTTTGACAACTCATCATTCATACTGTACAGTAGACTGAGCAGTGACAACCGATCTTTTGACCAATTTACTACTGTATTTGTTGATGTGCTGACTAGCTTACTTTTAAGCTAATAGTCTCCTTTTGGGGCAGTTTTCATCATAGACCATAAAAATATTGAACGTTTATGCTCGCCTATTCTGCATTTCAGTCTCATGCTCGACTAGACTCCGTTAACGTCAAGAAGAGAATCTTATACCATGCCAGTGCTACTTACAGTACAGCGCCTCACATTCGTATATGTTACAGTCTCTATATGATTTGAGTGTATAATATATATTTTTCGACAACGGACTTATTTTGTGTCCAATGTTAACTGTAGTAATGAAATTTGCTGAAAGTTGCACTCCTTATAAGACTGTTGTAATTCTATGATGCTGTGTAAAATACTCCTGTCAAATGCAGATACTCCTATTGTGTAACTTACTCATATAAATAAATTCACACTGTAGATTAGCATGGAATACAATCCAGGTTGCCCTAAAGAAATTTGCTCAACATCGACTGGAAATACATCAATTAATTTGATACATGTCATGGCTAAAAATCCATATAATAATGGTCACGATATCCACTACGTATGGAGTACTATTGGTTCGCCTGCAGTATTAATCGCTTATACAGTCAAGTCGACTGAAATAAAAATTGATTGGGCCAAGTTCATTTCCGGTAAAGGTGTAAAGTAATACTTTGACATCGCAATTTCTATCATTGAGCATTTTGATTCATTATATATTTGTATTACGAAATAGTCTTCCTAAGCGAATTGCTCTACTTAAATGCTAAACTTTAGTTGAGCGTTTACTTTTAAGTTTTACATATTCAACTCTTTCCGTAGCGCAAACGCATGATCTCAACGTATCAGCAGCATAATTACTCCAATCGTAGACTGGGGCTTTGTAATCTTCTGTTCTACACATATTTTTAGATGTTTCATTCCTCTGCGATTTAAAATAACTGCAAAGTCTATGATATGGAATCTGTAATCTTGAATCACAATCTTATACATTCTATCATTCTGCTATGATGCATGTTGCTATATCTTTCATTTTGGTAGATGGCACGCTTTTGAAAGATAGCGTTCACTTGCAAAGTGATAGTACAGCTAAATTAATGTCACTTAATATTCCTTATTGCAGACAATCCTGCGAACTCTATTACATTTGATCCGGAACCTTTCTACACTTCTGGCATGCAACTAACGCACTTAATAGAATTTGTTGATGTTAATGATACAGCAAGATTGAATAGTAGTGCTGAGATACACATGTATCCATTTCATGATATGCTATGGGATAGTACATCTTGGGTTAATAGCGAAAAATCTGATGGAAGAGTAAATTTCACAACTGAATACGGAACAAACACAAATGGTAGCATTCTGCTCTCGGTGTGTGTAACTTTATTAAATGTCTCATGAATTTGATGTAATGCAAGTACTATATATGAATCTATTATTTAAACGTGATAATTATTACTTAACATTTTTCTTTAACCGTAAGTATCCATTTTAGTTCTTCTTATTATAAAGGCTAATAATTTGTTTAAATGTTATAGTTTGACGCAGGGAAATCGAAAGAAAGAATCAGTCGCTTACCTTTTCTAATGATCACCTCTAATTCATCAGCAGTTGATTTAGCTCTTCATAACCTGTCGACTATCAGCAATCATTCTCGTTTCGGGCTTGAAATGATGTTTGTTAATAGTTATACTCAGAAACCTAGTAAATTTAAAAGCTATCGTTCTATTGATGACGAATACTGCCCTGCTGTTTTTACAATGATTGATGTTAATTTATATGGAGAAGGTATTGGTTTTGAAGTTTAACATTGTTCTATAGTTCTTACAATTAAACTCCAATAAAGATGTTACTAGAATCAATTTCTTAAATATTTCTTCTAACAATATAGATGCTTCGAACGGTAGTTATTGCCAGTTCAGACCTGTCTGTTACGTCAATCCGCATCGGGCATTGAGTGGACAGAAAGAAGTACAGTATTACGAATTCGTACAAGCATCGATCCTGCCGCATGGCATTTTAACCGCATTTTACGGAGAACAAGATATTAATATATACGGCATGAATATAACATTTGGTCAGAAGAAAGATGGATTTTACGTTGCTACCCAATTCACATCATGGTATTTTGCCATTGTACTCGATCTCATACGTATATTTTATGTAGTCAAGCTAGAGAATAGTTCATTGTAACTTACGTGTAGATCTCTGTCGGACATAGAATATTAGGCAAAAATCGGGTATTGCTAATTATTAATGACAAGTATTTTTCGATTTACAGGACGAGTACGTTTGGTTTTGGAATACCGCCGGTTGAAAAATTATCACTAGCAATTATCATGATAATAAGTGTTGGCTTGGGAGCACCCGTAGTTCTACTAATCTTTGGTGGAATCGGAGTCTTTATAAAAGCTCGAAGGAAGCAGTATAGTCGTTTAGAAAGTGTAAAACAAGACATCATAACGTAATGTTGGCAAGGCTTGGACACAATTGTAGTAAGATTAACGATTGTAACTCTTGTGGATTTTTAAGTAGAGTAGCTTAATTATATATCAAAATTATATCAAGGCCAGGGCCGTCAAATAGCCAAATTATTTTCAATGTGTACTGAAAATTGTGATTGCATTATAAATTTTTGCAACTATGAAATTATTAAATAATGTTTTATTCAAATTTACTTAAATAGTCAAAGAAATTTATAGAAATTTCAGCTTTAGCTATAGGCAATCTTTATGATATATGTACATATTTATAGACTTGTCGAATAAGAAATCATAGCGAATTGCCATATAAAACCGCTAATCGTGATTCTATATTTACAGTATTGCACGCAGGTTTAGAGGTATCTTAGGTTAATTACGTATACTTTTTGTAGCCTGTTATCATTTTTATCTTTACGATACTAATCTCAAAAATGTAATATCTCTGCGTAAAATGTAGTACTGAAAGGATCAATACGGTATCGCCGATGAAATATTGATTTTACGGGCAGTAAATTAGCTACCATCACTTCCGTTGATTGTACAGAAGCGAACCGTAAAAATAAAATAAAGGATTCGAGGCTAAACAGTCCAGACATTGTATAAGAACCAAGCTTCAAGTGTTCAGTATCTAAGACCAGACTTATTCTGCTTACTTACAAACCTAAGGAAATACAATATAATTTCATTGATGTATGATAAACACTTGATAGATAACTCATACAAGGGCCTTACTTATCGAGAACTTCCCAAAATCTTAAAGCACAAGCACGATCTAAATGGCGTTTATGGCGGCTAATCTTTATGGCGAGATCCAGACAAAATATTAAATTACAGATCACATTGCTTTCAAATTAGAATAATTACTAATAGTAATCAACCTGTAATATATGCACGTCCCACTTCTGAATATTAGTGTCCATGCGGGAGTCTTCAAATTTCAGGTGAAAGCCCCTCACTATCAAATACGTAAATTAATTAAACACTGTTATAAAACTGAATTTAAATCTTTATAATCGAAGATTGCAAGTATGAATTCACAAGCCTACCTTTCGCAAAGATATTCACAGGCGAGTTATCAGTCTGTAACCAAGGCCAACCCTTAAATTGCCATGTAGGTCCTTGTACAAAAACTGCAACGACTCTTTCCCTAAATACGATGCAAAAAATAAAGTACTATGACAAAATACACTCCAGTTTTATCTAGTAAATTGTCTATTACCAATCGTTCTTTTGCAGCTTATTAACGTTGTCGATAACTTTAAATGGGATAGTTACAGAAGTATTCCCTAAATCCCTTTTACGCTGCACTAGCACTTCACTTTCACGATGCGCACCTTTTGCTTTCTTCTCGTCATTACTTATGAATCTTTAATTAAGTTTTGTAATAATAAAACATTGAACGAGAGGTTATCAATATTATACGGTAAATCTCAACACAGCAAAATGAGATCATACTAACTTGAACTCTTGTAGAAAATCTTTCACGTTAAGAAGTGTAATTGTAGATGTTGCAGTAGCAGGTACAATAATAATAGGCGTTCTCGATTCTACGGCATACACAGAAGCATGACAATCGAGTTAATTAGGAAGCCGCATTAAGTTTTTGTTTCAATTACCAGCAATTATCTTATTAGAAATCATTTACCTCTTTTTGTGTGTCCAGATTTAGGTTGATTAGCTAAACATTCGAAAAATATCATGATATCAAGTCTCTTTTTAATAATACTGATTACGCCCATTAGTTATTACCTGAAAGGGGCTTGGCAACAGACACGGGCATTTCTTTCTGTGAATGGTCGGGCCTTCGCTTTGCTCCAGCTACGCCAGCCTATAAAGTACCAAAAGAATTAATCGATCATAAGGGTGACCAAGTCAATTAGAAGAAAAAAATATGTACTGTATGTAGCATACGTATATAAAACAAATATGAACCTACCGTTACAGATTGAAAGTTCATTCCACGATATGTACCCATGGTATCGATTTTAAAACCTTCCGTTTCTGTACGAGCAATTTTATATATTCATTAGATAGCTCGTTTGGGCAATTCCATATTAATAAATTTTTGAGTTGTTTGTAAGTTCTTACCTTCTTTCCCAGCAAATCTTTCCTGATCGTAACGACTGTATGGTATAGGAGCAACAGATTTCTTTGGAGGAGGCTCCTACAAAGTCAAAAGATGATTTGAATAATTCTGGTCTTAGTAAACAAATTACTTTCACATTGTTTCGGTAATTTCTTTCGTAGCTACCGTAGGAGGTGGTGTTTTGTGATTATGATTAAGATTACGTCCTTGTTCCCTTAATTGTATGTTAGTTATGACGTCCAGAATATTTGTGAATGACTAAGACAAACAGAGAGAATCAATCAGTACATTAAATTTCGATATAGCAAATTTATAAAAATGACTCCTGTGAAAATCGAAAAGCAGCTTACCTTTTTAGCTGATCGCATAACCGTTTCACGGGTTCTAACTACTTTTTCTTTGCTAATAATATCTTTGCTAACATCTACCTCTGCATCAGCGAAACTTCTTTGTTCCTGTAAAAAGTATCTTTATTGAACTCGAGTATAATAAATCATTAAAATTTAGTATTGATTTCTTTACTATTTCTGTTATTGTGTCATCCTTAATAGTTTCACGCTTGTGAGCAATTCTTTTAGCTTTAAGAGCAGCAATCTTTTCCGCAGATATTCTTTCACTCAATGGTCTATATGTATACCAAATGAAGATTCATTAAGATAGATGAGATAAATAACAGCCATAAGTAATGCATATTAAAACATCGGTAGTACCGAAGTTGATTCGTTGTTACTACTTTATCTTTAACATTTGCCTCCAAGCGAGACTCAAGACGATTCTATAATATCAGAAGTATTGCTATTAGTTAATAGTAAAATACCCAAATACACATGATCCCTGCATGCAGTAAAAATTAAATCAATCGCAGCTTCATGGTAAAATAATAATGCTAAAGGATTGATATCAATAATCATATTTAATTCATACTATAGTATAATAATAATTAGAATATAAGTATTGGAAGATTAATTTTAGACCTTATCTACTTTAACATCTTCGTCAGTCTTCACACGCTTTAAAGTGTCTGAGTTGGTTCCTTCGTCTACAGATCGCTTAACTTAAAAATTGATATTAAATAGCCAGTTCAGTATTATATCATAAAAGAAAAGGAATCAATTAAATACATGACATGGCTGTTATAAATCAGGACTATGCTTGCAATATAACTACCTTGAGGCAAGGGAGCAGCTGGAACGACATGTTGCTGGCCAAGTTCTAAAGGAGCACTTTTATCTATGCTAGCAGATACAGATGTCTCACCATTCAGGTATGCAAGCAAATCCTACAGACAATATTTAAAAATTTTGAGATAGTGATGGCAATTTAACAAGTCAGGAGTTATATAGCAAGGGCCAGTAATGAAAGAAAATCTATCAGTAAGTATATGTAATCATAAGTATAGCAACAAAGTTGTGCAACCTACTTTTCTATCGGGACGGGAAACAAGTGGTATTCCAGCAGCCTGTAAATAATGCGAGGTTAAGATTGAAAATACTGTAGGCAATCGATATATTACATTGCATGTAAGAATAAAGTAAAACTTGAGAAATTTTGTTATAGAAACAGTATAGTACCTATGGGTATAACATAGCGAAGAATACTGCATGCATGAGCAATAACGTAATTACAATAATTTAAAATTTAGTCGGAGTGGGGTTCCAGAAGACTACTGTAATATAAAATTTAACCCTCATCAAGCAAAGCAACACTGCTAGCATTAACTCATTAGCCCTCTAACATATCAACCAAATTTCAATCATTGTCTATATGCAATATTCAAGTTGCATAAGTAGCACAGAATAGTAGCTAGTATAGCTCCAGTAGCAGGCTAGAGCAAAAGCATAGTACAAAATTGAATTTCTAACGGCCGGAGCGAACTTCTGTTCAATGACTTTTTGTTCATGGAATTTCATCATGTTCACATTCTAACATTAGCATATGACTATAATCTACTAGCTATAATGTTACTGAAAAACTTTTAGAGATCAAAATGATATCAACTGCAAAATAGGCCATACTCACAATTGCTTTCTGAGCGTACACTGAATGACTTATGTCGACGTTTTTGAGTAGAAACACCAGGGAGGCCAAGGTGTAGTATTCCTTCGTTGCACCATCACGGCCAGTACTAACACATTGGATGCAAAGTTAGCCATTAGTAATCACCATTGTAAAAAATAAATCATTATGAATCAAGCTTAAGTTAATGAAATGATAACACAGGAAGTGTTTAGGCTGTAGAGCATAAATTTCAACGGTAGCAACTCTATTTGCAGACGTCAACCCGTCTTAATTGAATATAGCAAACTATTTTAAGTGTATTTAATTGAACTCAATATCATTCTGGAGTGCTATCGTGATTACCCATATTTTAAATAATTGGTATTTGTGAATTTTGACCAAGAATAGTCACCAAATATAATTCTTTCATCAGTTTCAATGACATCTTTCTTTTCAATATTGTACAGCCGCAAAAAGGACAAGCAGTCCGCCATAATGGAGTTCAACTGGCGTGTGTAAAGCGCGATCAACTGGATAAAAGAATCTGGAGGTCCTTTCCATCAGTACAGAACAGTACGGTACTGTACCAGTCTGCTGCTGTACTGTACTGTACCGGCATGGACCACTAGAAGTATACTGTACTGTAGAGTGACTGTACGGTAGCGTACAGTGTACAGTATATTTCTAGTGGTCCAGTACAGTGCATAGTGCACAGTGACTTCTCACTCCAAATGCACTACACTACTGCTAATAACTGATACTGCTACCATTTGTGTAGTGGGTTTCCGCTTATCGTACAGTACGCGGTCTTTTTCTGATGACAAAAATTGAAATTGGCTGCTTTTTCAACAAATTATATATCAATCGATAGTAAAAGAGTTGAATTACACCATTCCTCATGAAGATTCTCGTACAATGTCTAATTTTCTTCATAACTATTGAATTAAAAATAGTAGCAGTCGCCTCGATGCAACAAAAACAGAAATCCTCTACTGTAATGTGTAGCAGACTGCTACAAACATGCGTAGCGTATTTTCCCCTCAGTATTACAGTACTGTACTGTAGAGTGTACACTGTACAGTACTGTACTGTACTGTACTGTCTGTCTGTACATACCTGGACTCCTGGAGCCAAACCGGACAGACTCTTCGGATAGACGGACTTTGCATACTAGATGCAACTGAAAATGTCGGAAAACAGTTACTTAGTAGTTAGTACGGATCTTCCGTGCCTGTTTTCTAAATCACTCCTATTAATTTAAATAACATTGATGATCTAAAGCTACTGCTTCCAAGCAGAGTTTAGTAACAGGCAATAAAATACAATACAAAATTGCTTAATTTAGAAAAAATCAGTCAATTCAGAATCGACTGTTTGTATACTAAAGTACTGTTATAATGAAATGTTTTGACACAATTTATTGACCATAGTTGGCTAAATGTCTGTCCGTCCAAGATTGTGTCCAGTCCAGGTATTTTTCTAGTAGTGCATGACTGTACACTGTACAGACTTGTACAGTACCGTAAATACAACAGTGTTATACAGTACAATTTCCTTCCTATTCACTCAGAAATCCAAAGTGAATTCAGCTCGCCGAATCCTACTCCAATCCGAAATCCACTGTCTACATTTCCTCAAATCCCACTCCAATCGGAGTATACTACTGTCATTACTGTAGTTTGTAACAACAACATATACTATAGGTCACTGCCCTAAACTAGCTATGACAGTCTATTAAGCATTGCGTTGAGTATTCGAGTAGAAACCGGCCATGCTCTTCGTTTTGCTACTCTTTGATGAAAAAGTTTTACCCTACAAGCATGCTGATCGTAGAGCCTTTTTTACTATCTATTAACAATCATCTACTAGTATTACAATGAGCATACTATACATCACTGAAACGGCTATATGATTCATTGTACATGCACCAGGTAAAAGCGCTTATGGTTATGATGCAATGAATGAATCAATCAATCATATGAGCTGTTGCGACGGTGGGCTACAACCTTGTCAAAATATCATTTTGCTTCGTTACTAAAACTCAATAATTTGATATATAATTGTTATTTCTGTGTTTACCTGATTCTAAAAATAACAAACTTTCAATAATACGATGCTTGTGTAGGTCTAAATGTCCCTAAAATACTGCAATGCGATGTGTACGATCTTCGTACATTGCCCTTAACATAAAATACTGTCATACTGCCAATGCACTGAGTACAATCTAGTCTGGGCATAGTTCGGATTAATACTACTGTAGAACGAGTTACGCACAAGATTTGTATCAAACTTAACCTATTTATTGATCCTACTGTAAAATTGCAAAAAGCATTTAGCAGCAGTAAATAAGAAGGAAAAAACTATAATAATTAATAGATAAATATGAGGTAGGCGGTGAGTGATAGCACGGAGTATAAAGTATATAGCATAAAGCTAAGCGAAAATAACTTGAACACATTAAAACTCATAGTAAACATTTGCTACATAATTATCACGTTAGCGTATTAAAAGATAGATATGTTCGAAATCGTATTAACAAAGCATGATTATAAACAAGTGTGTAATTGTTGATGATATTAATATACTAATGCATCTACGAACGACGAAAGTAATTTGCTATATTAACCTTAATATTTTAAATGCAATCAACGATGACAACTGCTGCAATTCTATTATAGAATTGTATAGGAATATTACCAGAAAATACAATAGCGAAAAGTTATAACTACAGGAGAGAATAGAATTTTACTAGGTAACTTGTTGTACGCGTATACTTGTAATTTTATGATGATGAGTGATAACTTTGCTTATGATCAACCTTGTTCTATGATGAATATTGTATCGGATTATAAAAATAACTTTAAGAGATTGAGTAAAATTGAAACAATCATGGTGGATATGCAATAATTAACAGAAGGAACTCTATAATTCTGTTGCATTAATTTAGTACCTTAATCAGATTAGTACAATGTTACATTCCATTAAGAAAATATGTAATTTTAATTTATTCGATAGGCAATTGGACAAGGGTAACCACAAAATTTCTGGAGATATTCTCATCGCAACGGTAGCATCTACAAAGCAGGGTGATATAGTATTTATTGAATGAATACTCGTATGCTTGCGTAAATTTGATGACATTTTTCCTGCGATACGATCTACATTACTTTTTGAAAGATCGTCCTCCATATTATTGTTGCAGCTTGTCTAATGCTTGATTACAGACTTTTAACACATGCTTTACAAAAATAAAGAGTACGTTTCTATCAGTAACAATCCCTTTTCAGTATTTAATACCGCAAGTAGGAACTATATTACGTGAGTATAAATAATCGTCCAATCTCTAACATACCATATTATCACCAAAATCTTGAGCTGCTTGTCGAAGAACATCTACTACCTTTAATGATCCCATCTCTTCTATTCCTTCATCTATGCAGTGAAAATGTTAGACAAGAATTATTGAGATAGAACAATCAATTATTCTTTGGCTTATAACATCAATTAAAGACAATTACTGTAGCGGGGATTTTGAAATACTCGATATCTTTTCATACATACCATATTCAGCGAGTTCAGAAAATAATAAGAAGATATTTTCTGCGACTTCAGCGTTTTTCGCATTATTTCTGATGTAATATGATAATTGATATTTTGTTATGAAACAACTAGAATTAATACTGGAATCTTAAATTTTCATTGCGTAATTTGCTAACAATTACTCATTACTAAGATAATATTTCTGTAACAACACCACAATAAGCCCTACTTATATGCTGAAATGATGATTGGAACTCCGGAGACACCATTACTATTAATTACTTGCATTGCAGATGATTCTATGTAGAATACAATATTCAACCAGAAGATAAATTTAATCACCGAATCCCATTTAAAGTCCGTGCTGACATTGAATAACTTTAATTCTCATATTATACAAATTTATACAATTACCATCAACTTCTGTCAAACTTGCCAATAACAAGCAACCACTCTTTACAACTCGTGGTTCCTGGATATAGCGAAAATAATTGCAGACTGTTAGTAACGATACTTAACTTGAAAATCGTTCAAATCAGACGTATTATGTAAAATTAACGTTTCAATTTCTTGTATCAAATATTTATAGTATAGATAAACTACAGGAGTAAACGATATAGTGCCGAAACCTTTTCATTATTTTTTATCGCATTAACAACAGCAGCAATGGTCCCAGACTTAGATAGTTCATCCACATTCTCTTCTACATTGTAAATTGCGAATATGGACAAAAATGGCTTAGAAAAAAATGTCAACTTTGAAGTTTAATTATTACGCAGCTCTTAAAAGTTGAATATCTGTGTTTATGATAAAAAATTGCAGTATGATTATCTATCGCTTATGTGAATACCTTCCATGGATAAAGACCATAACGCAGAGCAGGAAGATTCAATTACTTCAACTGAATCTTGATGATTTTCAAGCGCTCGATAAACGTCTTCTAAACCTTTCTCTTCAGTTACGATCTTAGCATTGTTTTCTGTAGACATGATTATTAATCGCATTGATAAATACTGATATTATAGAATATTTTAATTCCAAATTAAACAATCTTTCGATAGTAGTTCTACGCGTATATTTACCATATCATAGTGTACATAAATCATTACTATCATAAATAATTAATATCTGCATTTAAGCTTTACCATTTGCTGCTAGACTCCATAAAGCGCTACAGCAGTTTGAAATAATTGTAGTATCATTTGGGAAAGCTCGTAAGGAAGCTAAAATATCTTGTACACCTCCAGAGTTACCGATAACTGCGGCAGCATTTTCTAATTAAATGATTACATTAAGATCTTGAATTTTTTATATTATTATAAGGTTATAAATCATAAGACAACAACATATGTCTAAGTTTTAATATATCTAATGCTAACCATCTGCAGACAGTGCTGCAATGACAGCTCCCGCAACGCTTTGCAATTCAGCTGAACCAGCATGTGACTATAGGAATGAGATAATTGAAGTAAATCCGGTATTGCATTAGCTTAGTATTCGCACTAGAGTTCCATGCTTAATCCGATATAATACAATATCTTATGATGTGTGTAGGTGTTATGCTAATTATGAAAAATATAAATTACCCTCATGGCTAATGTGACTGGTTGTATTAGCTCACTGCTATACATAATATCGTTTTCTTCCGCTGTAATTTAAAAGAAAAATCATTATAATCCAATTTCTTGCCTTTATAATTAAAACATCTACTGGATTATACTGTAATATATCCGTTATATTACATAACTGTTACATCAACTGTAGCCGCAGTAGATTCGATACTAATTTACTACTATACTTTTAGATTACAATAGAATAATTTGAAACTATTATCTTTAATATAACAAAATAAAAAATATTAGAATAGGGGTAAGTATGATGAATAAAGAAGTACGGATTAGTAATTAATCTATGCTATTGCTCAGTGTCCTATACTTTAATAATAAATTGCTTTTATTTAATATTGTAATAAGAAGTATTTTGTGAGATATTGCTACATATTATTGATACTACGGTACACTATTGTATTTTATATGTTACTTGGAAGTACTATAATAGTTGTACATCAGATATTAAAACTGGAGAGAATAAAAGAAACGGATACTTATTGAGACTCAAATACGTATATATGACTATTAACAATAATAATATAGTAATTCATAATGTTTGCTGCAATTACATGCAATTTCTGTAAGATATATAACATTGGAATATTTACCTGAAACAATAAGATGCGAAAAAATTTTTGCTGAAACAATTTGTATTTCGTTATTTCCTATATGATTTTTCATTGCCTTGATAATTATCCTTTTTCCAGCATCGTTTAAACCCATAGCATCTATTTTAGATGATCAGCAATTACATTAATAATTATAGTATGATTCTATCACTACGATTTTTATTATGATGCATTAAATGTGCGGGATATCTAATTTTATATCAAGCTTTATACAGCGAAGTACTTACCTTCATTTCTAAGCATATTGTGGATATATTTAAGAGCCTCCAACTAATTGATAAAACGATAATCATTAATTTCAGTTTCTAAATCATCTTCTGATGTATAAGTTCAAGTCGATATCGTAGTGGCAATTATTTGTATACCGAACTCTTCGAGGAATCAGCATTTCTATCCAAATAATCTAGCAAAATGGTAGTATAAATCGTTTACTAAATTAATTTCTCTATTGGAAAACAGTTAACTATTTGAATACTTGTATCGAAATTTAAAACTAAAGCAATGCATGTCTAACAAAAAAATCAAAAATTACCTAATACTGGACCAATTCCTTGCTCTTTAGGTACTGGATCAGCTAAATATGGGATGAATATGTATAAAAAAATAGCTCAGAACTGATGACGATGCGCGCATATTATTAAATAAGAGTTTGTAGCTATACACCTATACATTTATAAATATAGATGGGTCATCTAAAAATTACTCTTAATTACACTCTATATCAAAAAATGTGCTTATTTACCTTGTTCTTTTTTTGCTAGTGAAGAAAAGTTATATATAATAAGATTGTGTCAGTTATGAATGGCGTAAATTACTATTAAAACTGAAATTCGTACTAGAAATACCTTCCGCTTTCTTACGCGCTGCAAGTGCTGATCCACTAAGTAAGAGGCAATCTTTAACATATGGCAACGCTACCAAATCTCTATAATAGCAAAAAGATGTTAGCCTAAATTGATTACTTTAAATATGTATTATCATCAAATTTATCATTACCATTATTTACAATAATTTAAGTTTGTTAATTTATCAAAACATCTTATAGATAGTGAGAAAAGATACGTATTATACGGTTTTCCATAGAATCGTAAGTTAAGCATCCTTAAATTAGAGAAAATCCTTACGCTGCCGTTGGGCGTTGTTGAAAATTTCTTCGAAGCATAGTTCGAATTAATTGGCAGAAATCTGCTGAATATTTCTGAAAAGAGTGATAATGTACGTTATGAAATTTAAGGACTTTTTGCGTTTCGTAAGCTTTCATTGGTTATAGAGATTTTTTTACCTTACTAACGTTCTCCAATACTTCTTCCAAAACCTGAGGAGAATGTTTAATTTGGAAGAGAATGCCAGCCGTTTGGGCAGCCTAAAATCCCCATTCACAAATAAAGTATACATTCGTAAGCCAATATGTAACAGGAGCTGTCACAACTGTTAGATAATCGTAAATATTTTTTAAATTAATCATTTGTGAATCCGTTTCTAATAAATTGTTAAACGGATTCAAATCAGATAACCTACATCAAGAAAGCCGCAAGTTGCCATTTCGAGAGCAATGCAACCGAGAGACCAAACATCGCTACGTTCGTCGTAACTTTAATTATTGTTAAAGAAATTATATGCTACAAAAATAATATAACCTATTGTATATGATGTTTAATAGAAATTTGTATTTGTTGTTGCATAATTTATTTCATAAGTATCTATATGTGCAGTAATTGATTTAATTTAAATATCGACGAAGCTGTATTGATATGATTCGGACTACGTTCTAAAATCTTGTAATTATTGCTATACTAGTTGAATTAATAGTATGATACGGCCTTTCCAGTACTTCTGGGGCCATCCAGTTCATTGATCCTATAAATTAAAATTAAGTTAAGTTGCGCTTATTGAATGCATGCTACTATTAAGCATCACCCAAAAGAGTGATGTCAGTTGTATTTGTGATCAAACAATCTTAAGACTTAGGCTAGCGAATTAATTAAGATTCAATTATTCAACTAACCGACTGTAGTTCTTGTCCTTGTTCTAGCATCATCCATAACTGTTGCAACGCCAAAATCGCCTATTTTATTTCAATTTAAACGTATGTTTGTATAGAAACAGATTTAGCGATAACTAATAAATAAAATAACTAATCACAGTGCTATGGGTATAAGAAACATAATGAAAATAGATCAATTACCAAGAGAGATAGATAGATCTTCTGTCATGAAGATATTACTCGGCTTTAGGTCTCTGTATGGTGAATTCGGTAAAAATTATTGTGTCAGATAGAGTAGCATAAATTTAAATTAACACAAAATCTTGATGTAATATTAATATTTTGTAATAGCTCAAAGTTATATCAATTTGCCATGAACATGTCATACATATATAGAGCGAGTAATTACAATTATTAGTGCTCATAAGATGCAAAAGGTAAATAAAGCTACAGACTAATATTGAATAAAGTGATTTCCACTCTACTATTTTATGTGTAAGTAATATTTTAATAGGAAAAAGGATTGGGACTGCTTGTATGTTATGAATTGTGCCCTAACTGGGCCATCTTAACTTAAAATGAAAGCGGCTTCACCGAATATAAAACGTGTACGCAGTATGTCATGATGTTTGCGATTTTAAAACGATACCTGTGTATGACTTGCTTCTTATGGACAAACACTAAAGCTTCTATCATTTGCCCAATCCACTTTTTTAATATCTTAAAAAAAATATTGATGTAAATTTAATAAGTGATACTCGAAATCGTACGAGGCATCCTATAATTCTATAATGGAAAATACTTTTAATGTTGCCAATACACATACAGTATATCTAGTGATATATTAATTTTTTAATTTCTACTGTACCAATTCTTCGATATATTCATTCTTTTGACGCTTCTGTTTCAGGACTCGATCTAAATCACCTGATATTTTATTTATAATATTAATATTCTAAAATGAATATCAGTCTCTACAGATTAGAATTTTATTGTTTTCGACAAGCAAAACATGCCTACCCATTTTGTAGTATTCCATGACAATACAAACAAACATGGCTGATTCCTACACAGTGAAGATAAAGTGCACAGTGAAAATAAAGTATTGTGTAAATGCTTAACTACTGTATGACATTATGTAAAGTATTTTATATGGACAGTCATAGAATGCAGAATTTTGGTATAAAAATCAAATAAAATTGAAACAAATCTACGAATTAAATCACATACTTCCTTGTCCCAAGTGACAAAAAATTCCTTGTATCCGCAAACATAAGGATGCCTTAATTCTTGTAAAGCCATAGCTTCTTTAAAGGCTTTATTTGCTTCACCTTCATCATTACATTCAACCTGTTCTCGACGAATTCAGAATGAAATTATCGTATTTTTGACTCAACGAAGAGTTTTAAATCTTGATTTCAATTTCGTGTCTATCTTTGACAAACAATAACGATTTTTGGGACTGTAACTTTTAATATATTATGCGTCCGATCATTCTAGTTAAATCGTCATCGGTTGTAATGTTGCTGCTTAATGGACCCTAACATACGATTTACGAAGAGTAGATATCATGGCACGGTATAATTCCGCCATTTGAGCAACAGGTCATTATCGATCAGACCCTAGTAACGGGGCCTATTTATGTTATCTAATGAAGTCATATCAGTTAATGTAAGCCAAAATGGCTTCGTTTTGAATTTGAAAATATTGAAATATCGAGCAAAATCATTGCATGACATTACACTTTTTATGCAAGCTATTTGGATGTGAATGAAAGAAGCTGAGCATTAATCACGAATTCACTAATGACGTATGATTTATTGCAATTAAGACGCTTTATAAGATTGCACATTAGATTTCAATTTGCTTTCGAAAGACAATATGAGAACAGTAGTCAGTGATTGACGTTAAATTGGAAATATCTGTAATTTTTAACCTGGGGATACAGCGATAGATTGTAAGAACTTCAAATATAATTACTACCCAAAATTAAATAATATGCAAAAAAAAATGTAGGAGACTCCATTACTATCGTGTATGTGATTCGTTTTTTTTTCCAGGATATCATTTAAGATAAATAATGATTCTTTTGGAATGTTATGACAAAAGAAGTAACATCTATGTATAAAACAATATACGAACACAATTAGCCCTAGCTACAGTATCATCGTTGTTTCGTACCAACTGCGCTCTACACACAACTACTCTAATGGCATACAATAGCAAATTATATCATTTCCTAATAGTATACAGTATTGTTGGTCAAACACTATGGAATATAAAGTCAAGTTTAGTGGAATTTTACCTTTTTCAAGACATATTTTTTCTTCTCTTCTTTATCTTCCACCAAATAAACTGAACCTTGAGCACCTTTACCCAGACGTTGTAACAACTATGTAGACATATCCATAGAAAATTCTATCGTCAACGAATAATAACTTGCTACTACGTATATTCGCTATATGTACAAATAAAGTTGAGAAGTCTACAGTATAACACATGCACTATACCAAGTTGTTATTTGAGAATGGATGTCAGTTTGATAAACTAATGACAAACATGAAATTCCAGCTTAACGCTATCCATTTAACCTAGATTATGCTATTCCTGTTTCTATTTACTCCGTACAACATTCAAGTACCAAATTCAACATGAATTATTTAGCGCTATGATCTATTTCTGATTTAGTAGATGAGTAAATGTCATTTTAAACTCACCTTGTAGTTCTCCATGGCTTCGTTTGTCGACAAGGAAACGAGGAACAAAGAGGTGTGGCTTACTGACTGACCTCTCTTAATACTTTTGCTTATGTAAATTACGCAAGCGCAACTGGGATAAGCTACCCCGCAATAATCCTTCTTTATTGTTTGCAATCACAATGGAAAACAATGCCAATGATCCTTACCGTAGTGACATCATGGTCATGTGATAGTCGATCATGAATACCGATACGAGTCTCAGCTGGAGTTTGTCTTGTCTTCCAACTGATTAGAGGGTAAAACTACGGCGGCCCTACCAGTTGTCTCGCCATACAGTTAAAAGGAAATTAGTTTGATCCACGGGGTAGTGGTGGCCACATACCAGAGTAACTGCACATCAAAACAGGTAAATTAGATCAGAAAATAGAACGTTGTTCTCTAAATTAAAGTCGATGATGAAAGATTGAATAGGATATTGTGCTCTTATTACCTGCTTTATATGCTTTGAATTAAAAAAAATGGATAAGAAATAATTTCACTATTTTAATTGGAAAGTACTGCAGATCAAATCAACATGTCAACGTCATATTGCATGTTCCATTCATCTTGCAATAGGAGGCTCATTATTCATGGTATAATTATCGTGACCATGAAATAGACATTAGCTTGATCCTATTATATCCATTTTATCACTTTAGTTCAATAAATTAGGCGTTACTTTCTATTAATGAATGCTAGGATGAAAATTTTTCCGTGTCTATTGTAGAACAAAGTTTGGGGGGATAAAAAATACTGAGCTTAATTTTAGCTACAGTTCACGTTTAAAGGACGCTTAGGTAATAGAAACTTTAATGGACGATACTGTAATAGTTTTTGTTAGATGTTTCCTTGGTGAACCATCATAATCTTGTGTGAGCTTGTAAATGACATTTAGATATGACATTCGAAAATACAAGGGTGATATCGACTGCACTAAGAATGACTCACTATCGCATAACACAATATCAGGCAGCATTGAAAACCTTTTAACCTTAATTTAAAATGGTCAGTTGTTTGTAGTGATGATATGAAACGTTTCAATCGATTGGATGAATATTCGTTAAATATATAAAATAATAATTGAAAATTTGTTATAAATGAGTCTGGTAGCAAGCTAGCACTGGACTTGCATATAACTCGATAGCAATCCTTAAAATGAGATAACATTTGAAAAACGTGTAGAGCACAATAACAACTTGATGTTTTTTGGCTCTAACTGTGCGTGTTGTTTTTGCAAGCTTGCTTCTACGTATACTCTTTTAACGACATGGAGACATAATAAAACAATCATTCTCTATTTTATAAAATTGCTTTCATTAGGAGGTCATTATACTGTGCATTCCGCTAAAATGAATGGTACGATATTTATCAATTGAATGAACACTAAACCTATTAACAAAATTGTAAAATGGCCGCTTCAGAAACCACTATTTCCGTTACTTTCCAAGTTGAATATCAACCGGAAAATGGCAATGAGAAATTATTCCTTTGTGGAGACTTACCTGTAATAGGCGAATGGCAGCCCACGAAAGCCTTGAGAATGACCCAATCAACAAGGTATAGTATCATACTGTGAAAGTCACAAAACGCGGTGATAAGCTTTTAAGGCCAATGAAATATTATAGGACTGCATGCTATATGCATAATTTAGCTTTCTATCGTATTTTGCTTGCTCTTCAAGTTCATTTATTTGCGATATTTCGAACAAGGCAATTTCTACTTGCAGTCAGTTCAAAATTAGGACTATTTTGAACAAACCGAACATTGTTTGCAGTTAATCTTTCCATAATGTACAGTATATTCATTCTTGTTGCTGATTTACAGCACTGTATGTATCGTACATTATCATGATATTATGGTTATGCACGGCTGATGCTTAGAGGGTACGATAGGAATATTATTGATCGAATATTCGTGATGATACAAAGTCTAGCATTATACGGATAGTACGATGTGCTATCATTTCGAATTGGAATATACCCATACTCTTAAATTTACCCTGTAATAGGAGTGAATTGTTTAAAACTTGAAAGATATAAAGCTTACATTAGTCGACGCATGTACATGCAACCGTAATACTGTAACTATATGTACCGTACAGTAGAAAACCCTTAATTCATACTAAGTGGAATCGTAAGCGGATATCATCGTTGATAATAATATTGCATTGACATTGTATTTAAGTGCTATTATTATTACTATTATTACACGTAAATAAGGTGAGAAGATGACAATGATAGTCTGAATAAACTTTAACCATCAATATTGTTATGTGATTAATGCATGAGCAAGTTCTCTATCGGCACTTATACCCTTGCTTGTATTACTTACACAGAAGTCATTGGCAGGCTAACATTAACTTACAGCCACGTACGACAGTTAAATACCGTTACGTAATATCCGAAGCCTATCAAGTACAGGATGAGGTCCAATCAGAACCAAATCAAGTTGCTGATACTATCATAGTTAAAAAATGGGAAAGTTTTAATATTTGCAGGCATCAAACTATTCGCTGTAAGTAATAGATGGCGTTATACCGATACAGCATTACCGCAAATTCGTGACATACACGTATCTTAAATAATACAACAGTAATTTTGTAGATTTCTTTATATTGATTTAATTTCAAGAAATACAAAGTTGCTATGATACAGTAATACGCGTATATAGCCTTTAAGATAACTTTTAATTTATATATTTGAATTGTAGCGAGTTCTTCAACAATGAAAGTCGACGATGGTGCATTTGGCATGAAAGGTGTTTTTAGTGTCTTCAAACTACTATCGCTATATAAATTCCGCTCAGTCATGATTACAGTGCCCAAAACCGTAGTTTCTTCTTAATAAAATTAAAATTTAATTAACATTCTTCTAAAGTTATTGGCAGTAAGTTCGCGTCAGGCCACAATGCGTACACTTCTAGTAGATGTACATATTCATCGATGCTCATTTTATATTTCACAAGATAACGAAATTGCAATAAAAAAAGGTTGGCTTACGACAGAAAGTTACGTCAACATCTATTTGAATAACTCTATAAAAGAATCAGTCGTATTCTGGTCTCAGAAAACATTTATTGCTCCAGCCATCAAAGTTACTCCTTATTACGTACAACAATATCCGAATGTAAATAGTTTCTAGTATTTTATTCGACTCATTGTATCAGATATGCCTCGACTTTTTCTATCAGCACCTCATTATTTTCGCTCTTGAGAAATGCTATTTTAATTTTAGACCGGAGTGAATACGAATGTATACATCAAAATATTGGATGAAGGGAATCACTCTCCTAAGTTACAAGGCAATCATGGCACTTTTTGCGACAATAAATCGTTTTATGCCTTCACGTTTGGAACTTTCAACGTGAAAGAGCTAGTAAATTACCTTATTACAACTGTATTTTTGCCTTGATAAAATTATTCCCTAATTTTATCATTGTGATGATTAGGGTGTTAAGCTAGAATTTCACGACCTTGACAAATCCAATTCCACAACTGCTACAGCATATATAGTACCATCTCGCCTATCTGAATCTACTGGGAGAGTAACTTCTCCAATAGTGTGTTGTACATCTGGTAACCTTCTAGGTGAAGTGACAAGTTAGTATCATAATTTAATGGCTTTTCTTATAACACCTTCCTTTGAGGATATGGTATCATATGCATTGAGTTAACTGTTCTTGATCTGGTCTCTCAATGACATGTATTTTGTTTGTTCTGCCATATTTATGATATTATAGTTGAGTATTTGGTCGTTAACCCAATACCGAAAATCAAGCTACCAGAAGTTTATATTGATGTTTTTAAATCTCTGTCAAGGCCTTTACTCATTGGGCATCGTGGGATGGGTGCACATGATGCTCAAGACGCGTAAGTGTAGTACATTCCAATGATAGTAAATCCAATTATCAAATGTGCTTATGAAGTAATGTACTCTATATTATGTTGCTTTATCCGATGTATACTTGAGCAATCAACAACAATTAATATGGAATATAATACCGTTATACATGTATAGTGAATACATCGTTGAAGAGAATACCATGGAAGCATTTAAACGAGCCTTCGAGGTAGATGACCGTCTAATTAAAGCTATTTATTAACTGTAAACTCTCTATTATAATAATTGGAATTGTCAATTCAGAAATACTATCTACGGCACAACTTGCACATAAGTAATGACTTTTACAAAAAAAGTAAGACAGTAAGATTGTGTATGTTCGTATTTTACAATCTTGGCAATATTCAAAGTTAGTTCCCTTACAAAATGTCGTCCTATGTATTAAGCTTTTATGCTTAACCTTATTTTAAGCATTGGTATCGATTGATCTGAGTTTGCTTATTTAATTACTTGTGTTTAGACCTGTACAAATATAAATTGTAATAGTGACATAACTATACAGACATTGTAAACATTGAGGAACTTTTCGTATCAGTTATCTATTTACTAGACGTTTAATACAAAATAGTAATAGACATTTCGGAATAAATTACTTATCAGCAGTAAATTTTATTTTTTCACATACACTCTCGTATTCTATCTTATATCCTTTTACATGTATATATGTTATGCGATACTATACTACCGTTAGAAATAGTACTCTAGAAAACCGCTATATAGTGGCTTTAATTCAGCTATTTTCGAAGCTTAATCATGTATCTATAGAAAATAAATGCTAGATTATCAAATTCCTCGCACGCTTTTAATAGAGATATCTGGACCCAATCGTTACATATCAATCGATAGGCTTGTCGCAGTAACAGTGCCTATTTATGCATATATTTTACTTTCTACCGGATAGGGATTGCACCCAAGCTTGTATCGGATAAATTATAATTATTAAGAGAATACTGCAGGTGTGCAGTTCCATAAAACAAACTCGTATATAAGGTCCAGCGCCACCCTTACTTCCAACCTACGATTTATATTGCAGTAGTTACATTCATAAATCATATATACGCTGCAAATAATGAACCATTTTTATTATTAACGTTGTCATATTTGACTTGCAGGAAATATTTATATAAACCTAGTAATGTAATACCTAAACATTCGTTTCTGAATTCTAGGAAAAAGTCGACATGGTTGAGTTTGATATTCAAATGGATGCAGATGGAGAAATAGTGATATATCATGACTTCAACATTGACCTCCATGCTCTGGTACTTAACATATAATTTATTTGATCCTATTAAAGAAATCTGATAGCAAGAATTTACTTTAACCTACTTACTTTGATATATAATTGATTATAATTGATATTGATTACAGAGAGCAAGGGATAATATTAAATGTCACCGGTGTCCAGTGAAGAATCTCAGTGTTCAACAGTTGAAAGCCTATGCGGTAAAATGGATATAGGATACGTTTTACCATAATCTACTATATTTTACCGTGGTAACTAAATTATCATATCTTCACATTTTAGACCCTACATCGCGACTCAGGTTTAGACAAAATTCTTCTATTATTTCTTAACATTGATAATAAAATTATAACCAGTAGCCCTTTTTACAGAAAATACTACTACAGATGTACTTTTCCCGACTCTACAAGAAGTACGTGCAATCTTTTTGTGTTTTAATGTTCCCACAATTTTCACTAATAACTAGTAATTATCTTATTTAGGCTTTAGTGAAGCTTGATAAAGGATTAGGGTTTAATTTAGAGATTAAATTTCCTACTGATGAGGTGACTTACCGCTAAGAGGCTTTTAATTACTTATAAAATATAATCTTATATTAGAATATACTAAGTGTTACAATTGTCTAACCAAAAAATATATTATTTTTCCACAGAGACATGAAGATGTGGCTATAAATTATCAGGATATAAATCGCTTCGTAGATAAAATTTTAAAAGTTGTTTACCATTACGCTGGGGAAAGAAAAATATTTTTCTCCTGCTTTAATCCTGATGTTTGCATTGCGTAAGTGATATGTTAAAACTTCTTGGATAATACCCACTAAATTGTCTTGCTAATTATATTCACTATCTTGTTAAATTTCTTGGCTGTACTTGTCTTCTAGATTGTTTATGAAACAACCTTCATATCCAGTAGTTTATTTAACCTGTGGAATATCCGATAAAGACCTACACGTAATAGAACTTATTAAGAAATTTAACTTAGCAATATGTACATGGGGAAATGGTAACAACAAATTAGATAACATAAAATTGCAGCGAAGTTATGGAATCGATGGAATTATTTGCGATCGGTGTGTAAGATGTGCGCTTAGCGTGCCCTTCATGATTACTGGGCAGATGGCTCGAATCATTTTAGTATAAAAATTGCAGTACCTAAAATTTATTATATACCGAACGTACCAGCAGAGCAGTGCACATAGTCGATTTTCTTTTACGTAATTGTTTGGTGTGTATTTGGATGTTGTCACATAATCTATTGTTACTTATAACGGTTCTTTCTTAGGATAGAGAATTGCAAGCTTGCGAAAAGTATTTGGGAAGGATAGCTGAAGTGTGGATGCAATTTTAAATACAGTTTGAGAGTTTGATCATATACAAATATTTCCTGTATTAAATAAAAGAATCATTGCTTACTCATTACACTTCGCATTGTCATTTTTAGGATGATAATAATTTTGTTTACTCTGATTTCAGGTAGACATATATTATTAAAGCTCTTTTATTAGACTTACGTCTTAAACATAATTTTAAGATAGAAGCTTAAACAATATGATATGCTTTGTTACATACAGAGTAGTAATATCTTTGAAATAAACGAAAGATTTCTTTATTTTCTAATAATTGTTCTTTGGATCTTTCTACAACATATTCGGATATTATAATACCAATTACTCCTTTGATCATTATTAATTAAATGACGACAATAAATCATTTAAGGTATAGCATTGTCACCTTAAGTAAACAAGTAATATGCCCAGAATGAATGGAGCAATTTTCAGTTTGTTGTATTTTATTTACGGTATTGAAAGGAAAAAATGTACATAGTAGATAGAGCTTCAATTTCTTACCGCAAATAAATACTCAATTCGAATTTTTTTTAAGTAAGTCATCTCACTTCGCAACATAGTCACCACGTTTTATCATTGGTAATAGCTACCGAGTAAATTTAAATGATATCGTTATTGGTGATCAGTTATTAGTTTTTTGGTCAAAGTATCCTTGAAATTTATCTTCGTGACATTTTTTATCGAATTTCACTTCCGGAGCTGAAGCCATTCTTGGAAAGTATGGTGACATTGTAATCTTCTAAGGCATGGACCACTAGAATTATATTATGGCATTCTTCTAGTGATCCATGTTTAAGGTTATGCTGATTAAATGTCTATTATTCGTTGTACTGTAAATACACAGTACCCTAGTTTTGTGTATTCCGTAAAGTAGTAGGTGAGAGAGTGTCTAATTTATTTATTTAATTGATTAATTTGCCCTCGATTTTTTTGGATTGTAATCTACAGACAATAAAGGGCAACAACACGTACAATACGATGTATTCTATTACTATTATCACGCCTCATAATCTACACTTGTACATGGTCTGCTAAAAAGAAAGAAAATAAAAGACAATTCGTTCTCCGTACTTAAAATATGGGGCCAATTAATTTGCTGTCAGGTCTAGTTTGCTTGCCATTTCAACTGAAACGTTACGCTACTGTTCACGGTGGTATGAACTATGAACTAACACAAATACTACACAAGTACGATAACAGAATAATTTAACTTATGAAATCATTCGTCTTTGACGCAATTGTAAGTTAGTGATGTATTATACCATAAAGTAAAAGTGCAAGTACACATAGTAGGCGAAGTAAAATGAGCGAGGGATCTACTGGTCAGTATAATTTGCAGCTCCGATGTGAAAATGCGAGTCCCTATCTTGCAATCCTTTTGTTGCCCAATATACAGTACAGTACTATGAAAGGATGATGCTGTCAGGTAATGCCATTTCGAAAGTATCAGTAGTATAATCAGTAGGCACAGATTGCAACGATATCCGCAGTCACACTCTCGGTAGTACAGTGCCCAACACTCTATGTAGTAGACTAAAACAGATCGATAAATCATTAACACCTTTCTCAAAATGGATCATGATACTACTCCCCTGATAAACCAATTTGGATTGCACCATATAGCCGTTTAGTTATGAGGCAGTACCGTAGTAACAAGTTTCACTATCCGTTCGATCGCAATTATCAATCCCTAACCCTTCTCAGTCCCTTAAAAACTCCCGGCTTTTATACCCTCGACTACAGATTATACCGTAGGCTGTCCACAAAATCTACAGAAGGCCTTCATAACATTTGGAAGTCTTAAGCATTGTGGTTCTTTCCTATGGTCCTAATATAGCTACTTCTGTGTCATACTGTAAGTGCTACCTACACTAGTCTTAGCACTTTCGAAATGTCAGTTATCTACAAGCAGTGGCACAGTATTCCTTCTTTAGTAGCCTCTGGTATATAATAAGTGTGCGTATACTGATTGCATGGACTAGTTACCATAATAGTAACTTGCTGATTAACTGTAAATCTCATAAATCATGATTCGATTCTTAACCAAGGCCTGACCGTACTTTAGTAACACTATCCATGAGCTACTCCAGGAACTGCTAAATTTCTTAAATAGTCCCCGACTACTCTGTAATTCTATATTATAATGAACGTAATTATGATGAAATACTGTATTTCCTTTCCCCAATCAATTAATAGGCATCAATCAGGCAAGGATTACAGTGAAGGATTTATGTTTGGAGACTATTCAAATAAATTGCCATAGTAATAAACGCAATCCGCCTCTAACATGTGTAGTACTTTGGGTATTTCATGCCATTTTACTTATTTCATCTCACTAGATGAAGTTTTAAGTATGAACAATCATCACTGTGTTTTTATTTAAATTGTACCGATGGTAACAAGCCAACGAATAGATGTTAAAAAGACTTTCAATGAGACTATTTGATATTAAATCCAGCCATAGTTGGAGCTTTGCAAATACCTTTCCCTTTAACAGTCCACTTACAGCCTTTGTAAGTAGCTATACATTCATCATTGGTTCGTAGGTCAGGCTGGATCTGTTCAAATATCTATTGGATTACATGAAGAGAGAAAAATAAAGTTTCTATGCATGCAAGTGGGAAATTTGTAAAAAACCTATCACGTAAAGTTCCCCCACAATTAAAAGAGTCCTACTTAGAAGATAGTATAATGTGAATGATCTTATCTACAGACCTTTTTCTTAGGATTTAGTAATGTATCAGGTTCACCTAAGATAAAAAGATTAAGAATTTTAGAAATAGCTAGAAGTAATATGCAGCCTTTAGAATCACAATAAGAAATACTATTTTGAAATTCAACTTGTCAGGAAGGTAAGGTATTATTATTAAATGGATATCGTTATAAAAATTGCATTAAATATACGCCCAAAAATGAGTACACAGATACAATACCAACACCATAGTTAAAATGAGAGTATCGGCACAAGTACAGTACATACAAGGTATCTATCTACAGGTAAAATTTGATATGTAATTCTAAAAATATAATCATGTAGATTTATTAAGCATACCAGGATATTCCTCAACGACTACCCTATCACCAGGTACACAACCCTCAGGTGGATTTATTATTTCTACCTTTTCCGGTGAACTAGCGCACATAATCATACCCTGGGAGAGTATTCCTCTCATCCTAGTAACAAGTAATGACAAATGATATTAGAATTTGGTCAAAGGAAGTAAACGGAGACAATTGCTAGAAGTTTATTACTTTGCAGGTTTCAGATTGCAACAGAATATGGCTAAACGATCCTATAAAGGAAATAAAAATAAATTCGATTAGCTCAGCTAAAATTATTTAATGACCATAATTGAGTATTTACAGTTTTCGAATAGCCTATTGCATTATTAAATTACCTGCATTCCTTCGATAGGGATATGTCTAACCAATCCACTGACAATAGTTCGTGGGCTTTCTTCGCCTACGTTTACTGCAATATGATAAATACGGTGAAATTTTTATTTGCTAACATTAATTCTGGCATATTTGTAGAATTGAGGCATGATTTTTTTATAATTTTTGATCTCCATTTAGGGAGAATGAGAAAGATAAAAAATAAACTTTTGATTTGGTAAATAATGTCAATACACCTATACCATATCCACGTACGCGTATGATAGAAGTTACTGTACCTTCTTCTACATACAAAGAATCAGCATCAGGGTGTTTCTTAACAGATACAATATGTCCAATTTTTAGATTTAATCTTGAGATATCAATCGGTTTACTAGCACCATCATCTGTCAAAGAATAAAATTACGGTATTTTTTTACTCAAGAATTGGGTAAAATTAATTGTACTTTACGATGCGGAACTATAATATTATATTTGTATGAAATGTCCATTTTCACGTCTGTGCAAAATTGACGTATCAGATTTAATCTACGATAATGATACTGTTACAACATTGCCTAATGTGTGTAGACTGTAGACCAATCAAGATGCTATTTTTACTTGTTGTACCAACTAAAACAATAATTAGCTTACGCTTGCAAGTACCTTGCTTATTTTTGGATTGGTCTGACGAATTCTTAGCATTTTTTTTAGTCTCTGCTTCGGCCTTTTTCTGTTTCTTTTCTTTTTTTTGGTCTGGCTTACCTTTATTATCAGGATTAGTTGGCGATTGCTCGACAGTTTTAGCAGCTTTGGGAGGTGATGCATCATTTTTATTAGAGCTAGTTGCAGTTGATGACACTTTAGGAAGTTGAACTTGCTTTTCTGTGCCACGATAGTGTGATAAAGTACGGTATTGCGTTAATTACGTTAGTTAGTAATGTGCAAAAATAATTACTCGTACAACAGAACAGTTTCGTGCTATAGTGTTTATTATTTTCATTTCGCTATCTGAGTAGACTGTAGTGATCATTGTTGATGATTTATCTGCAAGTATCCAGAATGATATTGGACAGTTAAGCAATTCTGTATTTGTTTATCCTACAGGGCATAAGGATGTCATAGTACTCTGGTCAGGAAAGTTATGTCTAGTCACTATGACGCGTTCAACTGTTAGGACCTGTTGCAAACACAATCATTGCAATTGCTTTATTATACCACTTTATGTAATATTATGTTGTACTCACTTCCGTTCATAATTTCCAGATAACAGAGGCGTTGCTTTAAGGCTTCGACTTGTTTGGTTAGACTGTTGTTTTCATCCTGTAATCGAACAACTTCTTGGGAAGTTTGAGCGGTACCGGCAGAATTAGCTACGGAAAGGTTAAACAGATTGATCTCATTACTCTTGCTATAAAATATCGTATAACTGGTTTTATTCAACGACAAGGATGGCTATTTATGAATGAATATGTTCCCATTGATAGATAACAGATGAAGTAGTTGCTTACTGTATCCTTTCTGTACTTAGAAGTAGACCAAGACTACATTTCCTATTGACGCACATTTTAGAAATAGATTTATCGAACAGCATTGTACAACCTACGGGTATCAAAAGATACAGTCGACTAGAGTGCTTGCATGGAGTCAAAACGCAACCCGAACCCAAAATGAGTGCAATTGTTATACAAAGACCGTATGACCATCGAAATTGTAAACCCGAAATGCCCCTCGAGCCGGGTTCAAGTCGGGTTTCGTGTTGACTTTTATTAAGGATACTGCAGTCGACTATGCATCGCATCTACTCTATTGATAGCAAGCGGGAGTATCAACCGATGAAGATACCATCGCATTGCATCGTTCATCGATTAACAGTGAGCACCAATGGATAAAGATACAGTTCATTAATAGGAAATGCTCTACACATTGACAAGTTTATCAACTAGCTCGCCATTTCCTGCTGCAGTCACCGGTGGACAACATGACTTCAATAAAGCAGCAAGGCAACAGTATCATCACATTATCAAACTCTTCTTACTTGCTTGCGATGTTATAAGCTGCAATTGCCTCTTTAGTGTAGCTACAATTTCTTCAGCTTGTGAAGCGCGTTGTTCACATACTCTTAAAGCTAAAGCAGCCATCACGATCAACTACGACAAACTTTTTGCTTGAACAACGATGATTTAGGCCGACAAGAACCCGTGGATTGATTGGTGGAGGAAGGTTGGCCCTTGGCTTGCGTCAGTGAAAAAGTGTCGCATCCTGTCACTCAGTCTAGTGTAGTACGTGGTGAACTGGTGATTGAATTGGCCTGGCAATGTAGTCCCGTACTGGTCCTATTATGGTCCACTTTGTCCAGTAGTGACTCAACCGCTTTCTTACTCTACTGTATCCAGTATGAGAAAGCGATACAGTCAATGGGTTAGTCCAGCGCTCAAGTTCAGCCTATAGAAAGGCTGTGACTGAAGGGTACCAGATCGTTCCATCCACCCGTCCATACGCGACGTACCGTACGTCGCGTACAGTACTGTGATTGTGGAGGAAGGCTGGCGCTGGGCTTGCGTCAGTGAAAAAGTGTCGCATCCTGTCACTCAGTCTGGTGTAGTACGTGGTGAACTGGTGATTGAATTGGCCTGGCAATGTAGTCCCGTACTGGTCCTATTGTAGTCCACTTTGTCCAGTAGTGAGTGACTCAACCGCTTTCTTACTCTACTGTATCCAGTATGAGAAAGTGATACAGTCAATGGGTTAGTCCAGCGCTCAAGTTCAGCCTATAGAAAGGCTGTGTGACTGAAGGGTACCAGATCGTTCCATCCATCCGCCCATGGGCAATGTACCGTACGTCGCGTACTGTACAGTACTGTGATTGTGGAGGAAGGCTGGCGCTGGGCTTGCGTCAGTGAAAAAGTGTCGCATCCTGTCACTCAGTCTAGTGTAGTACGTGGTGAACTGGTGATTCAATTGGCCTGGCAATGTAGTCCCGTACTGGTCCTATTGTAGTCCACTTTGTCCAGTAGTGAGTGACTCAAACCGCTTTCTTACTCTACTGTATCCAGTATGAGAAAGCGATATAGTCAATGGGTTAGTCCAGCGCTCAAGTTCAGCCTATAGAAAGGCTGTGTGACTGAAGGGTACCAGATCGTTCCATCCATCCGTCCATACGCGACGTACCGTACGTCGCGTACACTACTGTGATTGTGGAGGAAGGCTGGCGCTGGGCTTGCGTCTGTGAAAAAGTGTCGCATCCTGTCACTCAGTCTAGTGTAGTACGTGGTGAACTGGTGATTCAATTGGCCTGGCAATGTAGTCCCGTACTGGTCCTATTGTAGTCCACTTTGTCCAGTAGTGAGTGACTCAAACCGCTTTCTTACTCTCTGTATCCAGTATGAGAAAGTGATACAGTCAATGGGTTAGTCCAGCGCTCAAGTTCAGCCTATAAAAAGGCTGTGACTGATCGGTGCGGTACCAGACCGTCCCTCCATCCGTCCACGGGCGACGTACCGTACGTCGCGTACTGTGCACATGTGCAGTGTGCACCAGAGACCGTACAACACAGATCGATCAACTACAGTATAGTACTGTATGCTGGTACAGAACGTACAGTAGTCGTGCAAGGCTGCAGCAAAGCAAGTTGCTGCAACAACCGGACCGAGCAGTACGACACAGTCGCACAGGAACAAGCTCAAAGCATCCAAAAGTATTTTGTATTTCTCCATTGCTAGAGCTCATTTTTGATTGAAAGTTAGGCCTGAAGCCATGGAAAATTGGATAGTTTGCTCGTAGATCCTACATTGGTCTAACGTCAATAGTAAGTCCGATATGTACTGGATGGATTGGCTGTATTTAAAAACTGTCTTGATATCAAGCTATGATCGTCTTCTTGACATGGAACAACTCTTTATTTGCACTGTTATTTTACTGCAAGTGAATGATGCTAGCTAGATAGAGTATAGTAGTGAGAAATCGATGAAAGAAACCTTTTGATAGCTTTAGCTAATCCATTGCAGTACATTATTAATAGGATAACGTAAATTGATACTGTTCTTATCATGATGTAATACAAGTACTGTACAGTAGTATTCATTGGCACTATTATGGGCGTACAATCAATCCTATGAATTGTATCGATTAGATTAGATTAGATTATAGAATGCTAGTAGCAAATCGATCAACCAATATTATTTTACGTATAATATTGATGTGTACCGCTATATTGGAACATCAATCTAGGACTATATCTATATTTTTACAAACATTATCATCACGCCAGTGATCATCGTTTATGAAGGTCTACTCGTATCGACGCGTGTATATATATATATATATATAATGTTATATACAAACCAGACGTGAATCATTTTACTAGGGCTTACTTAAAAGATCCTTCGCTGTTATTACAAAAGTATACAATAGGCTACGGAATAATCTATTTTTCCTAATTGAATTGCATTGATTAATTTGGTTGAATTAGTTATCATCGACAGGATTGACGATTACATAATAAAAAAAAGGACTGGCATCATGATCAATTCTCAATACAGGCAGTCGATACGCATTACACGCGTAAGAGTTTTCACAACAACTATGTATGCTCTTATTTGTACGGTATAGAACAAGTGTGCAATTTAATTGATTGAAAAGATAGTAACCAAGGACTGTATCAATTCAAACGGCCATCCTTGCAAGTTGATTCTTTATTTTTCTTGCGTTATAAAACGTAGGATTTATATCATAAACTATCCATGACCTTATTTAGTAATCCCTACTTACTGTAAATCCCCAATCCTATTTTTGCATTGATGGGTTGAGCTCTATCCTTTGTAATCGTTTAGTTCCTTGCATTACCGTGAACTACCGTGTCGCTTTTAGAATCTACAGGACAAAAAATCATGATCTACAGTACGTCATGATGTAGTAACAAGTTGTAATTGCTTTCCTTTTCTTTCACTAAAATGAAACAACTTTTGTTAAGAACATTTTCAACTACTGTCTCTTTTCCATATTTTAGCTACAATATTATAACTATAGGTAGTGAAATCACTACCTAGTTATGCAATATTGTCTGGTCTTGAAATTTAGATTTTAGATGAATCATAATCTACGTACAGTATATCCTACTGCTATTGCTGCAACTTTATTATTGCTACACGTGAGTAGGGAAATCTTGGATCTTGCCCATATAAATTGAATGGGAGATTAATTGACATTTTGCATACATTTCAATAAACATTTTCTGAAATTGTCTCAACAAAAGATACCATACGTGGAACATCTAAGACAACGTGTGCTCGTATTAAAACTAATTAAATGTTTATAGTACAGAGTATTTATTCGACTGCGCGATTGCTTATTAAATGCAGCAACATGCTATGCAATATCCATCTACCTATATAGAATTATACTCATTACATTACAAGGGATCTGTAGTAAACAGTATTGGATGAACACGTACGCACCAATTGTTCATTTTAACCTTGCTATCGCTCCACCTAAGCTCCTATATACCTAATATTGAATGATTAGATCTGTTTATTCTACTGTTCGAGTATCATTTTAATACATTCATATATATTTGTTATTACAACAATGCAGTAAGGTATAATCAATGGCAGATAAGGAAGAAAATGGGACTAAATCCGACGCTACCTCTAGCGAAAATTTAATATCAGTAATGACGAAAGAAATCAGTGATGATCAAGCTGATAGCCGTGCACCTATTGCTGACGAAGGCGCTACCAGTATGTATTATTAGCATCATTTTTAATAAATCGCACTCTGACTTTTATGCTTGACCAAAATATACGGTCTCTTCTAAGTACTCTCCTATACTTGATTATATTTTGCAATACTACACATCCTACTTTGCTTTACATTGTTTCGTTCTTGCTTAATAAATCTAAATTCATTTGTTCTAACTTTTGACAATATGAGACATCAACTGCATTTTTTCTTAGTAAATCGAGTTCTTATGATGTATGCTTCGCATGCCATTTATTGAAACTCATATGTAATCTTATGCAGCAGTGAGTACATCATTAAAAGAAAAGAATGAACCATTAAATTATTGTTTTAATAAACTGATTCCAAATAGTTGTAATTAATATTGTCAAAGGTCCTTTTCAATCAGTTATTTATTGATTATACTTATCTATGTAAATGGAAGCTAATCTTTAATTTGATGCGAACGTGATTAAATTAGGCAACGAGGATCCGCCTTCAAATCAATTTAATATGAACACAGTACTGGAGCCAACTTTTGCCAAAACTGGTATAAATATTAGCTAACAATGAAAATTATTAAAAGCTGACTTTAGTAACATGCTATGCTTTAAATGATAATGTAAGCAGTATCCATTATGAATTGAAAGCGTTCGTGCATGCTATAATTGTACTTGTCATATATGCCAAAGTGTACTATTTTAAATATTTCCTCTTTATGCTAAAAAAATACAGCAACAAATTCGGATGGCCCGTCGACAACAACCCTTCAACAGTCAGTAACACCTGAGCATTTGATCGCATCTAATATTTCTGAAAGTTCAGAAGCACCCAAAGCTTCTAAAGAATCAGAGACGCAGGATACCACTTATGAAATATTTGAAGGTTTGACTTGCCTTGGATCATCAACAGTTAATGCTCCGAAAAGTGAAACTGAAGCTCAACGGGTTATGGCAACCATGAGAGAAAATTCCGCCAAAGCTATCGAAGTACAGTAACTAAAGAAAATTTGATACTCCTAGTAAATATTAAAAATACAAATTCTCATCAAAAATATATTACTTATCTGATTGGCAGGTCAATCTATCCGTGCCAAGTGATGTTAAGGGTTCCGTTGCTTTATTAGATCCTATAACTGGATCTGAAATTTGCAGTTATCCAGTCACTAGAATTTTATTTTGCGCCCGTGGTAACCCAAAAGCAGCAGAAAAAGACTGTTTCTCGTTCAGTTCTACGTATCAAAAGACGGAAATATTTTACATCCATGTATTCCAATGTACAAATCAGTCTTTGGTAACACTAAATTCATATAACACACCACTAGATTACGACTAGGTAGACTTCACGACTCATGAAATAAAATTTTCTTTCAAATACAGGCCGAAAAGGTTTTAAAGGCTTTAGGAAATGCATTTCGAAACATGGATGTAAGCTTATTTAATCACGCTCTAATTATACCCTTATCACCGTTTATTTACATATTTATCCGTTAATACAGGTACAAAACTCGCCAAATTCCGATCAAGATAATCCCAACATTACTTCTTTTAGTTTTCAATTCGATATTACATTAGATGTCTTGGAAAAGGACGAAGGCATATTCCGGCCTGTACCACGAGAAAGTGGAGTTTTTAAGATTAGAGAGAATCGTTTCAAGCAATTTTCTGCTATATTGAAGCAAATAAGTGGACCAACGAATGTTAACATTATAAAGTACTCAGAAATCTATTTAAAATTATCACCTGGATTTTGCATGTATTGGTATCTTCTCATTCTTATCATCTTTACGCGCCTAAAAATTTAGATGCATGGGGCTATTACTATGCCCGGGACCGGCACAATTAGCTAAAACCGAGAAATTATTTCCTATGAATGAGGTAGAGATAGGTTTGAATCACACATTTATTTCATATTTCAATCAAAATACAAATACCTACCTAAATTTCTTTCAGATTTATTTTAAAATAAATAATGGGAACAAAAACTATGAAGTAATTGGAGTTTGGAATCCTGAAACGTTGTTTAATGTCAATTCAATCAACGCAAAAACTCCCAAAGGTGACACCAAACACTTATGCGAGTATACTGAAGGCGAAAAATTCAGCTAGTATTATGTTGAAATATTAACTTTATTTTGTACTTATAGGCATGCAAGTTTATGCAACGCTTGCAATGGATGTCGTGTTTGATAGAGTATTAGAGCCAGTACGGTTATTATGGTCAGTCCAATTATTACATTGTTGGAATGGTATGCTGTAACGTTATCTTATAATTTAATGGATAACCTGTTATAGGGATATAAAATTAAAAGTTTATGAACGACTTGAAATTGTACCAGAATCTGACAGAATGACACGTCATTCCGAAAGCTTCATGATTCAAGTTAAGAAGGTATTTTAGAAATAGATTACAAAAAAACTATTGAAGCTTTGTATATTCTATTCAGATGACAGATTATTTAGAGTGTGAAATGTTTAACGGTACTATTGATTTAAAATTATCATCACGCCCATACTATAATATAAAATTATTTCTCATATATGTTATACAGATGCCTCATCAGGAAGGCATTAAAGGTAACTATCGTGTAACCGGGACACAGCGTATATGCGTAGGCTTGAGTATAAATAATACTAGCCAACAAAATGAAGATCTAAATTCAGGTATAAAGATTAATATATCGATTGATGTAAATATTATTGTGTGTCTTGTAAGTGATGTCTTGATTTAAATTTCTACTGTAGGAAATTCAGATGATGAAACTGTTTTATCTGGTAGTGGCAACGTACAACAGGACTGCAGTGATAATGCATTAATTGACTGGTCAGAAGTTTTGACTAGATGGACAAATACTAAGTCGCGCCCTAAAGAATTAATACAGCTTGTTAGAAAGGTAACTGCTAATTATGGTACTACAGTCATAAACTGATAGCTAACTTTTTGTTGTTAATAGCTATGCATTACCCACTGTAGGTTATTTGTAATTGTGCATGTATAACTTTGAAATTAGGGTATTCCGGAACCTTTGAGGGGTCAGGTGTGGCAAATGCTAGCCGGTATCGTTGAAAATACCGATTTGCTGCAAACATATTCACATCTGTTAACAAAGGTAAAACGAAATCCTATTTAATCAAGCTATTTAATAAGCATAGAACTAGAGTATGTTGTATTTTATTCGTATAATAGGAATCTCCTTCCGAAAAAACGATCCTTGTCGATCTCGGACGAACATTTCCGGCTCATCCAATGTTTAAAGATCAAGATGGAGAAGGACAATCAAATTTATATAGGATTTGTAAAGTAAGAAATTTGCGAAATATCTTTCTATCAATGTATTAATAGCTAATGGCTTTATGCAAATTATGTAACCGTACAGGCATATTCAGTGTACGATGAAGAAGTTGGATATTGCCAGGGCCTATCTTTCCTCGTAGCTGTATTAATTTTGCATGTACGTGAGTGCTATAAAATGAGAGGTATATTGTTTGTTTTTCAGGAGAAGTGAATATCTAATCGTTGAACTTATTTAATTAGATGCCTGAAGAGCAAGCTTTTTGTGTATTAGTAAAGATAATGTATACAGATGGCTTACGAGATTTGTTTAGATTAAACTTTGAACAACTACATATCAAATTTTTTCAATTAGAAAAGCTACTGGAGGTATATCATCATAACATTAGAACTTACTTAACTATTACATTCATATCAAAATTAACACCTTCTTCTATTTACAACAAGAAAATGCTACCAGATCTGTATTATCATTTCCAAGGCAACAGAGTAGAAGCTCATATGTACGCATCGCAATGGTTTTTAACGCTTTTTACAGCCAAGTTTCCTTTAGCAGTTTCATATCATGTTATGGATATGTTTCTTTGTGAGGTTTGCACAGCATAAATATATAGCATGAATACTGTATTTTTTAGCAATGTAGAAAACCTTATAAGAATAAGCTCCTTACTCGGAATGTTTTACCATAATTGACTTTTTACTACTATAGGGCATGGAAGTATTATTCCGAGTTGCAATTACGATTTTAAAGGTAAAATATGGCCGTTAAATATAATTGTATCCGTCTGAGCATATATTAACTAAGATTTCAATTTAGCATATATCCAAGGAACTTCTATTGTTGGATTTTGAGGGAATTATGAAACACTTTCGAGTTACTTTACCAAAAAAATGCTTATCAGAGGAATTTTGTTCTCGAGTTCTACTTGACTGCGGGAGAGTCAAGGTTAGTATTTCTTATGTTATGGTCGTAAGGTATCATTACTAAAATGATAAATCTGTAACCATTTGAAGATTGATAGTAAGAAATTACGCAAATACGAAAAAGAATATTACATTTTAAAAGAATTACGTGAAGAAGAAGATCCAGTCATGGTTTTAGAGGTATTTTGATTCCTAATTAATTTCACGCTAATTCGATTGCTCCTTAAGTGTATGTATGCATATTGTACTAGAAAATTTCTTTTCCAATGACAGGAAAAGAATAGATATCTCATGAGAAGTATTGCCAAAACAAGGCAAGAAAATGAATCATTAGGGCAGGAATTGACAATTTTAAAAACAATACATAATCAATCAACGGAAGAGGTTATCTGTTTAATTATAATTGTTAGAATTTTTAAGAATTGTACGAGTCAAATATCGAAGAAATTAGATAATGTTATATTATCAGTAACTTTAATGGTGATTTAAAACTATTTCTGTAGGCGAAAGAAAATATGAGCTTAATGAATAAAGAGCTAACTAGTTTGCAGTCTCAATATGCTGACTTAGATGAAGATAAACGTAGATTGCAAGCGGAAATTAAAGAGGTTTCTACATATATTAGTGATTACTTCCATTGATACGAAAGTTATCAGTACTTGTGTATTAATTTATTTAAATTACGCACATTCCTTTTTACAAGATTAAAGAATTATATCGGGATACTGTTGCCAAATCAAATGATGAAGCTAACCGACAAACTAATATTGTCAAGGAATATAAGCAGGTACGACCGTTCGAAATAAAATCATCTTTATCTGTTCATGCTTTTTATAAATTATATAATTATTGCACATGCTCGATATCATCCATAATTATAATTTTGAATTTATTAGATATGCTCTCAGCTTCAAGATAGATTAGAGAAGCAAGAAAACGTTTATACAAAGCAAATTAAAACAATAAAAGTAAGCCTGAAAGATATGTTATTGTAAATTTCTTTCATAACCATTCACGTACCTTTTCTTAGGCAAAAATATTAAAAAAGTACCCAGATTTGGCCGATAAAGTTGATGAAGAAATCGATAGTCTGGCAGATGAGAATGCAATTGGAGCGGATGATAAAAGCAAAAGTTACACAGAATTAGGTGCGTTGGAAGAGAAATTTAGGAAAATGGAGGTTGATTATGCTCATACGAAACTAGAATTGGTTGCAAAGGAGTGCAAAATACAAGAATTGGAGCATCAATTGTCTGGATTAGAAGTAACCCTTGCAAAGCACGGCAGTAACTGGTTCGCAAAGTGGAAAAAGTAATACTCGCTAATATGGATTTAAATTCTATGAATAAGCGTAATTTAATCTAATATCTAGGATCCATTATTTGGGACTGCCGAAAACGTTTAGAATCGAATAGTAATATATGGATTTTTCAATTATTTTGCCCAGTTAGATGTTCGATGTGCTTGCAACTTTGAAACAAGTTAAAAAAATGTGTAATATATTTGCGCTAGTGAATTGACATTTACCTAATTAAAGAAAACTAAATCGTCGCTTTAAAATGATACTGGATGTTAAATCATAACCGTTTAAAATGGTCTTATTTTATCCTACTTGAAATTGCTGCTATATTTTGTAAACCATAAAATCACCGCACTGGATGCTGCGATCTAGATAAAGTATATCATTTGCAAATTTATGTATCGTTTTTTAAATGTGTTCTTGCATATGTATATAAATATGGAATACATCGTGACTGTAATTGTATCTTATAGTAGAAGCATCAGCATGTAAAATATATATATACAATCAAGTGAAGAAATATAGTAAAGATGATATTGAACGAACTTTTTATTTTTTAAACTTTGCAATGAACGTTAACAAGTTTATCGCTACGTATAGGTCATTTATAAATCCAATCACCACGAAATTGCAATTACTAATAATCTACTTGGAAATGCATTTACGAAGAGTCTAATTATATTTATTAGTATTTGTAGACTTTTCCACTCTTAATTATTTTAATCTTCTTCCCACGATTCAACCGAGAAAAACTATGATGACCTAAATTGCCGTGTGAGTAAAAATCGCCGAAAGGTAGTCCTTTAAATTGCGAAAACCCACCGAATCTTCCTCTGTTCCGATCTAAAGTTTTTTACAAATTCATAGGAGTAAATGTCTATCAATTATAATGCTTTTATGTCTTCAGTTGCAGTACGCACGAATCATGTTTAAAAATGAGGATGCATTTCATAGCTATTTATGGCTCTAACCTGAACAGGTCGGACCAGTGAAACCGTTTCGGCATTTGCATTCGCCAGTCTGAGCATTGCAATCACCATGTTTGCAACTACAGCGGAATTCGCAGTCCGGCCCAAAGTTACCCTTCGAGCATGCTGTATAGAAATATAATTTATTAAATTAGACAAATTTATTCTAATTTCTACGTTTAAGTTAAAAAATAATGAAACGGCCAATTAAGTGTATTGTAGTGAAAAGTAATAATGAACATGAAGATTAGAAGACAAATTCCATTTTTAAAGTATTTTATGTATTGATAACTTACGTGTATTGCAATTAGCTCCCATGTATCCAGCTCTACATTTGCATAGACCATCAGTTGGATTGCAGAAATCGCCACGCCCAACATCACATTTACATATTGACTGACAATTAAGACCGTATCTATTCAAGCCACAATCTAGTCGATTACATGAATTTAATTTATCATCAGTGAACTATAATTGTATACGTTCGGGAAATTGGTTGTAAGCTGTTTTAAAATAACTTAGTTTTCAGACTAGTAGCTGCTAAGGCCACGCCATAATGACACAATTACTAATATACGCGAGTACTGTATATATTAATTAGTATTCATCCAGCTTACTTCTCGAACATTTTGGACCAGTTAAACCAGGTGGACAGTCACAAGTCCCAGTAACATGATCACACTCGATAACATCTCCGTTACCATTTGTGTTGCAGTCGCAAATTTGCAAACAGTCACGTCCAAAGCGTCCTTTAGGGCATTGCTGTTCACATACAGTACCGATATAACCATCTTTGCAAATACATCGACCAGTTTCTGGATCACAAGAGCCGTCATTTTGGCAATCTGGGCAACTATTGCTGCATCCAGGACCCCATCGTTCAGGATCGCATCCTACAGGAAGGACAAGATTCATCGTACATGTTACATAACCACGTAATTTAAATTAAATCACTGGCGACTGATTAAGATACTTGTAGCTACCCAATACTGTAGTCGATGAAAGTAATAAAAACGAAAGTTTCATTGTGATGATACAAATAATTGTATAGTACAGTCTAATACTAGTTATAATGGTTGCAAGAACCTGTAGTGTAGTATCCTTTAGGCCATTGACAATTTGAAATATCAACTGTATCAATATTATATCTACCCAATTTCATAAGGTAATGTAATCCGTTTAAAGCATAGAATAGTTATTTTACTTTTAATGTACTGGAATAGAAAAGTGAACATTTCAACTTAAATTGCTATTCTGGGTGGTATACCTATATTTTAACGGAAGCTAGAATAATTAACTGTTATAATTAAAATGTAAGAATAAATTTATTATCATTGCTTAAGCATGAAATACCATAAAGTACGACACTTATCTATCCAGAGAATACACGCATGTTCTGGTTGATATACTGCATTATATAAGATTATTAATACTATAATTAATTTAAGAGAATTTTATGTGCACTATTTCTACTACTGTCCTTATTTTTAGAACTTATAACTCATAATAAGACTACTTAATTATTTTAAATTGGACTCTCATAAACTTCATCTTTAATTTGATGTGAATCTGCCTCTAAGAAGAATTAAAAGGGCTTGTAATCACTATTCCAGTTATAAAAACCAAATATAACCTCTAATACAGTAACATCAAAGCATTGAGCCATAAGCAGCAGCAATACCGTACTTAAGCCAATTACAAGTATAACAGCTGCAACTCACAAATGATCCAAGCTATGGTAATATCCTCGTAAAATTGAAAAGATAGAACATTTATAAGTCAATGCAGTGGTACTTACGCTGACTGCAGTCTGTTCCATGGTAGCCAGCGATAGTTGAACAATCACAATCTCCAGTAATAGCATTACATAAAGCATTATTAGCACAAGGGCAGGAACTACGACATTGATCACCAAACGAACGACCAGAGCAGCCAATTCCACATGCAATTCCAGTGAAGCCAGAAGAACACTCGCATACCCCAGTGACTGCATCACATTCGGCCTTATTAAAGCACTGGCAGGCTTGACGACAACCTTTGCCAAAAAATCCATTAGAGCATTTATTTTCACAACGGACACCGATGTAACCAGCGGGACAATCACATCTTCCATTACTACAAAATCCCCCATTTTGGCAGTTGCAGTTGTCGAAGTCATTATCGTTACCATTTTGACTATCTTGACTAAAATATCCATCGTTATAAATTGATAATCCATTGCCATTTCCATAGCCATAATAACTTTTACATTGTACTACAGCTATGCATAGAAATAAAATTGTTAAACTAATAAGGATCTTAGCCATAATGGTCGAAAGTAGTTTTTTAATAATGAACGATTTCCAAAATATAAGGTCAGTAATAAACTTTCAAAAGATTACTTCTACAGCGTAAAGCTCCGGGATTTTTATACCTCTTCCATGGTGCAATTTCAACATGACAAGATTGAAAAAATTTAATGCAATTGCCATAACACCTTTCAGTCTGTTTTCTCAACTCTTTTGTAATTTGAATCAGGTATTAAACATACGAAATTTATTTTACACAATATTTATATTATAAGAAAGTGGTACTATCACAATATTAAGCAGCCCAATTGCTTATCACCTGAATTGTTTATGGCTCAAGCGTATCTGTAAGAAATACTTGATAATTATTATTTAGCAGTTATTCTTTTAACGGTTAATAGATTGCGAAAGAGAAGCGCTATTTTAACTGAAATGGATTAGAATTAGTGCTGACTAAATGATATTAACCGTGATGTATCAGGTTTATTATTCTCACGAATGAAAAGTGGATATGAAACCAGGTATATGTGGTATTATTCGATAATAATTAAGCTGCATATTTTTCCGATAGTTTTACAGCTCATGCGGTCATGCTCAAAATCATATAATGAAAGAATTAGTTAAAAGAGACTTTCTGACTAGCAAGTTCAGCTGTAATATTAAAGTAGAGACACGTACAAAGAAATTTTCCAGTGTAGCCGCTACGGTACATCAAATTATATTGCGTTGCTCTCATTTTGTTAAATTATTTATAAAAAATATATACTGGAACGCTGAGTCTGTTCCGTAGAGATTTGATTTTATTCTATAATATCATCAATTATCCATGTGTGAATCATTGTGACGGTTATCACAACATTTAGCGGTACTGCTGTAACTAACTAATCATTTTTACTTCATCAGGGCCATTAAGCTATTTCGAAATCAAATAATTTCAATTATACCACCCTAATTAATTTCGACTTACATGTTATAATTGTTCCAGTTTGATATCTCAAATATATCTGTTAACACTACTTTCCGATATCGCGCAAAGTAACAACTCGTATTTACGTGCAGACTTAATCAAATGAAGTCGCAAAATTATAGTTGTTATTCGAAATACTGATACTGACTTATTAATAAACTCATTCTTCCGATCTGCTATAGCAAGAAAACAATTTATCTTTTTCTCTATTATCATTATCGATGTGAATCAAATAATTTAATAGCTTATTCAAATAAAATTATCGCTTCCTTATTAGTAATTACTGTACATAAAGATTTTTGTAACCGATTTTTATGCGAATAAATAATTCATTGCAAAATTATTCTTATATTATAATGATAGTAAAGCATACGATATTGCTACGAGACTAAAGACATGGTGATTATGGTGCTCCGTAAAGGTGTAACTTTGTCTTTGCGAGAAAAACAGACAATTAATACATAAAATTAATTTACAAGGACAAAATGACACTATTTTCCCGTATATATTATATACAATATATATTTTTGAGGTATCACTCTGTTACCACAAAGATAGAGCAGTATGAGATTGACACATTAAAGATTGAAAGTAATTCTCTTTAATATTACGGTTAATCTCATATGAGTAATGAATCCAGAATCACCACACTTAATGAGAATTCCGATTATTAACTGAAGCGCAAGTATCATTTGCTTTATTAGTCCCCTGACGTCCACTGTGATTTAAGAATTCGATATACTGTATCAAAGACTACTGAAAAAGAGAATCTGTTTTCCAGTAGTCCTTATCTGTGTCGCAACCCTTTTCAAAAAAATCAAATTGCAGCTCTTAACTGAAATAAGGTTACAGTAATTCATTATCCATTTAAAATTGCAAGAGTTGCTTCATCATGCCACTTTATAATTGTAAATGAATACGTAATGTGCAAGCTTACCTTTAATTACATTCGAGGTGCTAAAATAATGCCTATGCTCTAAAATACGATTTCAGCTAATTTTGTGAGATATGATGATAAATTTTTACTGACAATAAACGTCCTACGAACTCTATTTTTAATGCGATGTAACACTATTAAATTAATTTGATGTTGGTTTCTAACTTCACCAGAAACTTTTTAGAAATACTTTAATCGTAGAAATACATAGAAAGATTCGTTCGTAAATAAAACTGTTCTTAGCTGTCGTAGGAAGCTTACAGTTGAATAATAGAACTCATTGTTGTACGCAAGGATTGTGCTGGACAAGGTGGTTTAATATATCTCCTATGTAGATTCCGCAGTCTGCGGCGTATAATGCTGGTATCCTAACAGTATTTAGGATTTAAAGGCTATGTATCTTCCGAAACTGAGATATAAGATTATGTAGAAATTTAGGCCACAATGGCTAGAATTAACTCAATTTAAAAATTATAATATTTTGGTATATGATACCCTGTATCCAATCTGTTATCTATGACAGAGGAAGCATTCAATAATAGTTAATTTTATTTTACCTTTTGTTACACTAACTAATTTGTAATTTAAATAAATTAGTTTTGGTCTACAATTTTATGTATAAAGCTAAGTTAATATCGTACTTCGATTCCTAATCGGTATAGAAAAGCTCATATTAGTTCATAGTCAGTTTTATTAGACTTAAAAGTTAATCAACGTTTTCTTTTTCATAAGAATCCAATACCAATTCATTTGAGTACTAATTAAAGAATTATTCGCTATTATCCATTAAAGGATATAAATTAATTTTAGTCATTATAATCCTATTTTGATAATAACCCAGGTAAAATTATCAAATTTAGGATTTGGATTAAGCTGTATTTAACTCTATTAAATATTAGTAAGATATACGTAAGACAAACTATTTTGATTGCCACGATTCAGGCTAATCTTTATTTCAAATTGTAATATTGCAGTAGCACATATTGAGTTAAAATTGGATACTTTACATGATAGATATCAGGGTCATTGCGCAAATATCTATACAAACTACTCCATTTATGCCCTTTGATGGTGTTTATGATATTGAAAGAGGCAGTAATAATGATTACGAGAACCATGAGTCTATTATCAGTGCAGTGTATTTAGAATATACTGTAACTATATTCTACTCTTAAATATAGACATGTTGTTTTGCTCTTATATTTAGATATATTTACAATCCGCTTACTTCACATTCATATATAGGCTACTGTATTTAGTTATTACAGTACTCGCTATTTTCTACTATCATCTGCTATTCTATAACCTGTTATGGTATATGTTGTATCTAATCCTACAATCATGTTCTCTGCATGTGTTCTAATGCCATAGTTATAAATACCGCCTTTTTCTGCCTTAGATTTCTTAAGTTGCATTATTAGTCACAGTTAGTATTCACACTTTACTCACGGCAGCTACCACGCTGACCTACCGTAATTATCGCATTGTACCTAACTACTATCCACAATAAAGTATCCTCTTTTTCTTAAGCTCCTTGTGCAATTCTCTGCATGGCAACTAAAACCACATTATCTGACTCTTCGAACCCTCCATCACAATCAGTATCTAATTATAAAATTTTATTATGCTGCATGTATAATTACGCGTGTAACCTGACTTGATTTGAGCATTTAAATGACCTTATAATTGGATGAAAACTGTAAAATTACTTGCCATAAGATTAAGAAGCTGTAGTATTTAAGCAAAATTTATGTCATACAGGTACCCTAAAATCGGGTTATGATGTCAAATTATTATTAAGCTTACTCTCCAATAGGTGCTGATCTGCGTAATATTGTATGCTGTAAATGATTACGTTTAATTTAAAAAAATCTTATATAAACCTAGAAATTTATTCAAACCTTATGGTTAATCGCCACAGTAAGTTATCAATTCTGAAATAATGTATTCGTAGATATCTATATTTCGACAAAGTAGCCAAGTGATTCGATCTGTTCATCCATGGAGAACTAATTTATCAAGTTGTCCATAAGATGGTTTGATTCCTATCACAATACTGCATTATGGTTAACAGCGTTAATATTGCAAATCAAATTGCGAATCGGTATTATAGTAATATACAATAATTAGATTAAGTGTAATAACGCTATTTGCATATTACCCTATCCTAGCTATAATATTACAGCGTAATTTAGCAGCCGTATAGCTATTTATTAAACTATGTCAAAAATAAATCTTGAAATAGTGAATGGTGATGATTGTTTTGAATGATGATAGTATTAGTGACATTGCTGACATATTACTCGATTCCTGCTACAATATCACAGAATCGGTTAGTCATAAGAATGAATAACTGAAGTGCTACTAGTACGCCAGCATCAATTCATTAAGGCACAGTTTGTCTAATTGGTGAATATAATTATATGTTACTCGTAATCATTAAAATATCTCTTCTAGTATTACAGGATGATTAAGTAATGATTGCTACAAGTTTAATGATTTTATCTACTAAGATAGATTCCTTCAAATTTAGTCCTAAAACACAGGAAAGACACTGGTGTTTTAAGTATTGATTTAACTTAGTATAATATAAACAGTAAGGCGCCATAAAACATATAATTAATAAGATAGCAATTGTGTACGTATGTATTCAGTTTGAGTACATACTTTTAATTGAAAAGCAATTCATTCAATTCATACAACATGCTAAGATGTAGCCATGGCTAATATTGGACGATATCGTCATCAACATGTTTATTCATTTTAAATTAGTCCAACTGTCACGACGTATCTTAAGCGTCAGGTTGTGATGATTACCATGACTACAGGCGTTACCATTGGCTATTGATGACAATAATTCATTGTTTTACAGCTAATTTCAAATATGAAATAATAATTATTGAAACGTCATAATACTATCTTCTCTTTTATTGTATGAGCAATCAAAAATAATACAAGATGATCAAACTGTAGAAAAAGAGAAGTATAGTTTGGTAAGTATATCAGTACAGTAATTGGTTGAAGTGAAAAAACAAGAGGAAATTCCATACTTAAAATTCCACCATTAGTGGAAGATAAAAAAAATTACTCTTAGATTATTATCAAGATCCATTA